GATATCCGAAATTCTGAATTTAATTACTTTGGTCGAAGATTTCATGATGTAAAGTTTGCATATGATGGCAGTTCGTATTTTATTGAATTCGACTACAAAATAACAGATCCTGATTGGGTTTGTTTTCTGGAAACTTTTTTGAGTTATGCCTACTTTACAAAAATTTCCATTGATTCTGAACTGACAAGAATCTGACGAAATTTAATATGTCCTTGTACAAAAAGTGAAAATTTTGTACGAGTTTCAAATTTTATGACGGGAAAATTTCAGGTTTTCGATGTAAAAACTATTGGACTGCGACTGAAAATTCCAGAACATTATCCATGTGAATTGCTTATGGTAACCTTGAATCAACCAACTTTACCTGTGCCACTTGCTTCGCACTTCAACAAAGAAGTTAAAAAATTCCTGGAGGTTACTGTTATTCAAGAATTGTAAAAATGCATAAGGAAATTAACTACGTTGATCAGACAAAAATGAAAGCATTGGGAGAAGAGATCATAAGTTAGTTGACTATCCAGTACAAATTTACATTGGAAGATAGGTATGGATAGATTTAAAATCAAAAATGTTGTAAGTTTGACTTATAAATAAATAACAGCTATTCCGCATGGTCTTAGAAATTGATATAGTCCGAAGAGAACTGTTAATTCATTTCAAATAAAGTTCAACTTAGTTTATATACTTCTACACTTTTCATTGACATATATGTAAAATCTTACAGATTTGGTTAATTCAGGCAAAAAATATTCAGTGGTTATTTGAAATGTTGTTCACAAATAAATTAAATTGAAAGAAATTAAATTTGTTTTAATAATAGGAAAAGTTTATGGAAGCAAAGAAATGCGACACTTATGTCGGTATTGGTAAAATGTTCATTCGTTGGTTGGATCGTAATATTTTGAAGTTTTTTGTCGAAGGTTTAAGAAAAACAAAAATGATTGCTGAAGCCGAAAAGGAAGGCATTAAGTTGCATCAAGCGAGTTTTTCAAATTTGATCAACCAAAAGGAAAATACTGATACCAAGGTATTATTGTTGAAGTGTTTTGGCAAATTGTTCAATTGGTTCATATATTAATTTGAATGTTGAATTTTCTGACGGCACTAGTATTCTGTTTTCAACTTTACTTGTGCTATTTGTTTTTTTCCAGACCGATAAAATGAAAGTGGAAGTTTGTGATAGTGCTGAAGTAACGCAGAGTCGAAACTACAAAGAAGCAAGAGTGGAGTCTTCATCTAAGACAGAAATCGCTATGGTAAGTCTAAAAATATTATTATGATGCGAGGTGATAAAAAGTTTTCGATATTTCATGTAGAAATATTTTATGTTCGCTTTGTGGCAAATGTATAATTTTTTAAAAGCATGTACGTGTTCAATTAATTGATAGTTTATTGGATCATTGCTCTATCTTATTTCTAAGCTGTCTTCATGATATTTCTATTTGATTACTATTTGTATATATATATTTATTTATTTATTTTGACAGGAAGAAATTAACTCTAAACAATCACCAAAAGGGAAAGCCATTCAAGCTCGTATTTTTTGGAATGATTTAAACGGAAATATTGCTACATTATCTATTATCACAATGGCTGTAAGCATCAAATGTGCAAAATGTAATTCATTATCTTTCCTGATTTGCTCAGTGAAACAACTTTCTACATCACACTGCAAGAAGTAAGTTTTTGGCGTTTGTTTTTGAATTATTAAAGTCTGACTTACAGTGCAGAGTTTTCGAGGATTTCATTTTAAACATGCCTTAACCGTTATTAGTATTCGATTAAACAAAATTATCGAGGAATGTGTACCTTTGTTTTACTAGTGAAAGATGGATAAAATAAGCAAAAGCTATTATTTTGAAATGAGTAGAAAGAAAGAATTTAGAAGTATTTTTCAGATGTTTAAATGGCTCATCAATCCACATTTCTCCTCAGCTGGTACATCAGAATTCAAATGTTATTGCATTACTTGAACCAAAAGGCTGTATTCCGGTAGATTGTGTGCTACTTTCATCAAAATTATCTTATACCTGTTTACAATGCAGTAAAGAGGCTACAGTTGAGGTAGTCCTTAGTTTAACATTAACATAAAAATATACTATGAAATTATGACAAGAGTTTAAATTATTGATAAGGGCGGTAGAGATTTTTTCTTTTTTCTAATTATATTTTTACTTTATTTTGCTGTTCTGTGATTATGCTATGAATAGATTTTTTGAATAGATTAATAATTAAAGATTTGGTTCTTTTTCGTCTTCTCTATAATTTGTCGACGATAAATTTTTAAGCTTTGTGTGAATTACTACAGTTATCAGTAATGCCGACCATAAAATATGATGTGTATTTCTTTAAGCCTTGTTATTACAACACATTTTTTTTTTCAAATTTCTGCATAATTGTTAATTTGTTTGTTAAATTTATGACATACTTGACATTATTCATTATCGCTGCTGTAACGGATTTATTCAATCATTTTGAATTTCGTAATAATCAAGTATTTGCTTTTTATTAGAATCAATTAATGTTTATCATTGCTTTCAGAATCTTACATATGGAGTATCTAATAAAAGTTGGTGTTATGGCTGCCATAGTAAATGTGAATTTGAGATTAGAACTATTCGATTTGTTGGTGATTTTAATGCAATTGAGAAAGAAGATAGCTCTGTACCAAAAGGCAAAGTGAGTCAACCTTATTCTTTTCTTCAACTATTTGATTTTCTCGACCATATTAATTCAACTGGTCGTTTTGATAATTGTTATAATATTTATGTGAAGTATGAATATGGCACTGCGGAAAAAAATACTAATCTATCTTGATGTCTATATGAAGTAGAGACTATATTAGATAGCTAATTTAACAAAAAGTAAAACTTGTCGGTTTATATAAGAATGAAATAGTCATGAATCCTTTGTCAGTTACAAGCGATAGGATTATAATGTATAAGTGAGAGAATGCTTTGAGTATAACAGTAATGCTTGAAGTTATGCTGTGAAATCGAAGCAATTATTAAATTTATCTCATAACTAATTAAATATTGTATGAGATAATGATATTCACATATGATATAATCATATGTATTACTAATGAATACTTAAAGAATCTCCGATACAACCATTTCTATAATTTATTTTTTGCTCGTTCTATTTGCCATTTGTTTATTAGGTTTATTTATCTTTCTTTCTAGTTACATTCTTTTTTTTTTTTTTTTTTCTAGCAAAAAAAGAAGAAAGTTGAGCGATCAGTAATATTAGTTGAAGGTCAACCACTTCCCGAAAATGGAACATGCAAACATTATAAGAAAAGCTATCGATGGTTCAGGTTTTCGTTTATGTTTAACTGAATAGTATTTTTTTCATATGATTTTGGGATTTTTGTTTGAAATTTAAATTCCAAGCAGAAATCTGGATTCAAAACATATAGTTTTATAGATTTCCCTGTTGTGGAAAGCTTTATCCCTGTGATCAGTGCCATAACGACGCTGAAAAAGAGCATGAGATGAAGCTGGCTAATCGAATGGTCTGTGGTTTTTGCAGTAAGGAACAGGTAATATTTTAAAATTACTATTTCTTTATAGTAGAAAAGGTAAAAAAAATGGAGATCTATTTTTCTATTTCTCCCATTAATATCTTTATTATAAGCTGCTATTTCCAAAAGTGCATTTTTTTTTCTCTTTTTCTTTTTCTTTTTTTTTTTTTTTTTGAATTTCATTAAAGTTTCATTGATTTTGATTAACATTTAGCCATTCCAAAAAGCCAAACCATGCATAAATTGCAATGAGAATGTTACTCGTGTAAAATCACATTTCTGGGAAGGTGGAAAAGGATGTCGAGATCAAGTCGTAATGTGCAGGTATGGGTTAAGCTTTGGATAAAATAAAGCAATAATTTAATTAGTTAGTGAATAGAATTTAAAAAAGATTGTCGATAAATTTGATCATAACGATTAGCTAAAGTGTAGGAATTATTTTAATTTCTTCCAAAAATCAAATTGTATTTTCTGTCATCAATATTTGATAAGGTTGAGTATAATCTTTTTATAGAAATGACAGACGAAAATATGCAAATAGTTTGATGAAGACTGTTTCCAATAAACATGCTGCACAGTTGAAATTTAAAGATGATAATAAAAAGAAGTGATACTTTAGTATTTGTTGTATTTATTGGCCATAAATATTGACAATGCAGTTGTTTAAATAATTTCAAAAAATATATTTTTGGCAATTGTTATCAAAGACATATGGGTATTTCACTTTTGATTTTATTTTACTTGTATATTATTGTTTGTTGCTTATTATTCGATGTAATTCGTATAGTGTGAAATTTTTCTTTTCCGTGATAAGCTCACTGATATGATTAAAGTATTTTAATCATACATTAAGTTCAGCATAATTTAAGTCATCAATAGAATGTTTTTTTTTTAAATTGATAGTATATTTCTCTTCTTTCTTTCACTTACCTTTTTTCTTTTCTTCTTTCTGTCCCTTTCTCTCTCTCTCCCTCTCTCTCTATCCATGTTCATTTATTTCATTTACTGGTTTGTATAAATGCTCTCATTGCCTTATTTTTCTTTTTGAAGATACTACTTTTTATAAGTGATCTTTACTTTCCATATAAATCATTCTGGTTCATTCTGGTTGTGTTTCTATGAAAATGAATAAAAATATCAACTTTTTTGTAATCGTTAAAATGCTTTTTCGATAATTGTTTTCTTTGTTAGAATACCTAATTATATGATGCTTTCATGCAATCTACAATAATTCAAAATCTAATCCAAAAATTAATACAATTTACAATAATTTGAAATCTTAATCTTTCATTATTTTCTTGAAAAAAAAATTATTTTCTTATTTTCTTGACTTTTTCCTATCAGTAGTGAACTGAAAAAGAAAAATTCATGTATTTAAAATTTTTTTTTATATTTCTTATTATATATTAAATTTAAAATTTACATTTTCTATTCATTAATTTTCATTACAAAAGATTATTTTAAGGTCTCGATAATGTCTGATATTGGAAGTGGTTCGACTGAAATGGTTGCTACATATACATATCGTTATCACTTCTGTAAATATTTGACACCAATACGTACGGGTATAGGTTTGCTAACAATTTTAGGTAATAATTTAGAAATGTATAAAAACAAAAGAATTATTCATTACTATCAATCACACTCAGAAAGATTGCATATTTTTCATAAGTTCTTTAATTAAATTGACAACTATACTGTAGGGAGAAATCCTTATCTTGATTACTTTTACAATCTTAAGTTAGAGATATTGGAGTATTAATAGTTTTTAATTTAATTAGCTACTTATATTCTATGTACATTTCACTTTTCAAAAGTTTAATTTCAAAAAGATTGGATTTTTCATTTAATAACATTTAATAAGTTTCAAAATATAAAAAAATGTCATAAATTAATTGGCAGATGTATGATTTAAGTTTATCAAGTTTTATTTGAATTTAGTTGAATAATACTTCAGAAATTTATATGTATAATATTTAGATTCGATTAGGAATTTCTAGCTTAATGGTTATATTTAAATGTGATATTAAAAATGTTCCTAAATGATATTATGGGTTCTTGATTATATGAAATAAGTATTAATCAGATTTGGATAAATAAACGATGACAACAATTCTATTATGTATTAATTTTCATCAGCATTGTTTATCATTATCTGACGAAACATAATTTAATTTGTAACTATTTGAATGTATTTATTATTACTGGATTGTTTATTTTAGTACGAGATGATAAGGTTGTTTATCATTTGGCTGTTTATCACTAAGATAAAATTGGAATTGATTGAGGGGTTAATAAAGCGCCATGTAATGTAATAAATTTTGAGAATCATTTGAGTGGTTTGGTTAGCATCGATTAACTCAATTCTATCAATCAATTCATTTCCATTTGGAATATATTTGGCTTTCATTGGAGTGCCTTTATTTTTGCTCGAAGCAGGCTATATCATTCGACTTTGTTGCGGGTTTGATTTTTATTTTTTTTCAAATGATTGCTACTTTTCATTTATTTGTTTGTAATCTTTGTATAAATTGTGTAAATCAAATATTTCTCTGTCTTTTCTTATTTTTTAATTTAAATAATGTTTTCTTAGAGAGTAATTTTTGTTTGTTTGTTTGTTTTTTCATAGGAAAGGAAATATTATCAGTGATAAGATTTTATCATAGCTTTAGTGTTGCCCTGTGGTAATTATATATGATTATCATTTTCTGTATTAGATAGTATAGAGATTTATAAATGATCTATTGTAAAAGATTTTAAGAAGTAGAAGAAGTGATATTAAAGTGTAGTAATATTTAAACAGTGGAGATTTTTTATAGTGAGATTAAAATTAACCTTTTGTTTTTCCTTTCTTTCTTTTTCTTTTCTTTTCTTTCTTTTTTTGTTGCAGAGTTGAAGGTGTATGTTGTCGAGTATTTACATTGATTTTGAATTTTGATGGTATTAAACGTGGATTACTCTATTTATTCTTTGCTATTTTTTGTTTTTATCCAAATCTGACAAAATCAACCGTTTCTCCAGGTATTTTATTTATTTATGTCTTTTAATTTCATCATATTTGAAATGAAATTTGAAATAATGAATAATGTTAACAATTTTTATTAAAATAGTACTGAATATCAGTAAAATAGTATTGAATCTCAATTATACTAAAAGTTAGTTTGTCCATTTTTTATCTTTCTTATGCATTATGAACACTTTATCTATGAGATTCATCAGTTTTAATTTTTCCTTTTTTAAGAAATTTTTTCTTTTTTCATTTCAATCTTTTTTTTCTGTGTATATATATATGTATTTTTTTTTTTTGAACAGTAGTAGTCTACATAGGAGCACAAGTAATTAATAAGTAATAAATGCTAAAGTATCTATTTTAGATTACATTTTTCATTTCCAGGTATCTTTTTGATTTTAACCGCCATTTTGTACCTGTTAAAACCGATACAATTGAAGAAAATAGTAGTGGCACATGAGAGCGAATCAACTGTACAATCAGTTCGATGAATTAATTAAATTCTATATGAAAATTCCAAGCATTTGTATATTTTAAACAATTCACTTGTTTTCTTTTCTCTTATCTTTTTTATCTTAAATTTTTTTTTTTTTTTTTTCATTTTAAAACAATTGAGATTTTATATTCATTTCATTTAATCATTCCTTTGTCTGTTTGTTTTTTTATTATATCATTCAGATATTAATTAAAGAAGTAAATATTTTGAATGATTACTGAATTTATCAATTTGCTGCAATTATTAAAATGATTGAACTTTCAGATATTTTTCGATTAAATAAACAATGCTCCTGAATTAAATATTAAATCAAATAATTTCTTAGAAACTATGTCAACATTTCTCGTTTCTTTTTCAGTTCATTTTTGTGCATTTCAAATATTCATTGAGGACTTTATTGATAATATATAAAATGGGTCTTTTCATTACGTCATTTTTATCAATTTTCATTGGTTTCATTTTCTAGTATCTTTTTCGTATGTTAGTAATAAAATTTTCTTTCATTAAAAAATAAATAAATCCATAATTCTGTGTTAGAAACAAAGTAGTGCTCCATGCAAGATCCAAAAAGTAAGAAAATTTTTTTATAATATTTATTTAAAATGACCAATCAATAATGTAATATTTCATTTTACTGAAATTTTCGAAACAAAAAAAGCAAGAAAAAAGTAGTTTAAGAATTTTGTACTGGAACAATCAAAATATTTATGGATGCTTATTATATTTATATAGCGTTCAAAATTAAATTAAATTAAATATTTTGGATGAATGTAAGAAATATGCATGTTAAAGTATTACAAAAATTAAAATTGTTCTGTCAGCATGAATATGTTTGTTTGTTGTTTCTCTTTAATGATAATATACTTTCTGTTTAATTAGAATAAAAAGAAATAATTAAACTTCAAACGAAATAGATTAGATTTATTCAATTGTAAACAAATATATACGTGAAAGTATATACAAGTGGAATGAAAAGTATATTACAAATATATATTACGTGAAAAAGAAAGTGAAATTACATAAAGTATAATTGTGAATGATTTAGAAGTATAAGAAAGTTATTTAAATAATTTGATACTTTACTTTGTCAATTTCTTAGATTTTTATTCTATGTATGTATATATAACAATAAAGAATAAATTATGCTTTGAAGATAATAAATATAAAAAGTCAATAACTTTAACAAAAAAAATAAGATATATAAGTAAATAAATAAATAACGAAATGGATAAGGAGAGAGAGAAAGAGAAAGATTATAATTCTGAAACAATCCAAAAAAAGAAAGGAAAAGTTAGAAAGAAATTTAGAATAATTCCAGAAGGATTTTCTTCCTTTCTTTTTTCTTTTTGTATCTAGAAAATTCTTTAAATCAATTAAATGAAAACAATAAGATTGGACTTCCATTTGTGAATTTATAAGTGATAAGTTAATTTATACGCAAATGTAATAATGAATTTATTTCAAATTGTTATTCATTCATTTATTCAATATTTAAAAATGAGACACAATTAAAATAAACCTCAAAATCTAAGCTAAGGTTTATTTAAGTTTATTTTGCTAAAGTTTAACATCGATGTCAATTTATTCATAATTGTTTGAAATTGTTACAAAAATAAAAGTTATTATAGTAACTTACTCTAGCATATATTTAAACTGTATAAGTTGAATAAATTTTAATAATATTTCATTTCAAAAATTTTAACGTTCTTTACAAAAAGAAAAAATTATTTATTTATGACAGGACTTCTTTTTTTTTGACCAATAAAATATTTTAATAATTTACAAATATATTTTTGTTATTTGTAGGAAAATATTTAATTTTAAAATCAAATGCAACAATTATTTAATATATAAATCATAAATGGATCATATTCAATGACTGTACATTATGAAATAGGATCAATCGGATTTTTGTATATTATGGAACAGGATCCGGTTTGTATGTTACGGAACAGGATCCGACTTATATATTATGGAATAGGATATAGCTCACTAAAGTTTTGATATAAGTTTACTGAAATCATTACTTGTCTTTGATCTCTTTAACAAATGTTTTTATTTTCAAAAATTTAAAAGTATATGATTGTCAATTACTACTTTTGCAACAATCTACAATGAGCTTTCACTCCATTTTTGTTAATAAAATGTCAATAATTTTGTATTTTAATTCTATCCACTGAATATTTCTATTCTACAATTTGCATTAAATTCATTTTTTTAATAGGTTTTAATTTCTTTCTTTTTTTGAATTTACTAAATTAGATATGTATTATCTTATATAATGAATTTCCACATGATAGACAAACAATTTTGAAGTGCTTTATTTTGATTTTGTTCCTTATTCAGTTTTTTTTTTTTTATATTTTATGAAACCTAAATGAATGAAGAATTTAATGCATTTCAAAAACTGAACAAGTTACATACGAAAGACAAATGCTAGGAGTATTATTTCAACTCAAAAATGATCAACAATAATTTTAGCAGCTCCTTCAAATAATTTGTTTGCCAAATTTGCTAATATCAATTAAATGATCAATAAGGACATTTCATGGTAGATTAAAAGATCACGTGATGCAAGGTTGAATTAATTTATACAAGAGCAATGAGCCTGTTGGATTTGCTTTAAAAGCTTCACAAATTATTGAAGTGGTTTATTTCTTGATTTATAACAGCCAATGGCAACTAATAGCATTAATAAATTTATTATGCCAAACAATATTCTCAACAGCTACGAAGATAGTTGTTTTTGCTAAATTCGAAGAAAAAATTGCTAAACAATCCCGAATATATCTACGATTAATTCTTTTGCGACATTTCTCTCCTGAGACTTTTAAATTCTTGAAATGGTTTCAATGGAAATATTTTAAAAAAATACAAAAATATATATTAAAAAAATTTATATTTTACAAATATCTACAGACAGCAGGAATTCCCATTATTAATGATCGGATTTATTACTTTTATCATTCTGTGTGGGCTTTTCTGCTTCCAGTTTTAAATTATACAATTGCCAGAGCTGATCCTCTTGTAAACTGTCCAACAATGTGGGATTCAAATTAACGCCTAAAATTCCTTTCACAATTCCACGACTAGATAGCTGTTTAGATAAGACTGTTGAATATTCCTAAATGATAGAAACATTATCAATATTCATTTTTGTAACTTCATCATAAAGCAATATTTGAAAATGTTCATAGCATTTAAAAAAAAAAAAATCAATCATTTGAATTTTCAATGTTATTTTGATAATTGAAAAATATTAACAAACAAATAAAATCTATCAAATTCAGTTCATTTTATTTTCCTACTTCGTTGATGAATTAAAATTTTGACAACAAATAAAACATCTCACTATGGAATCGAAATACTAATAGATGGAAAAGAACAATTATCAAAATATTATAAAAATAATTTGTCGGATGAGTAAATGAATGTTTAATAAAATGTGCTAATCGCTTCATACAAAAATTCCCACCTTCCATTCTTTCAAGAATATAACAGCTTGTTCAGGTGAAACATTTTTATGCTTTCGGAATTCACTTTTTATATATTGATCACCAATTGTACGCATTTCTTTCGGCAAACCATAATGCAATCTTAAAATGATTTTTTGTAACTGAAAATGATAAAACCACTTTTATAGAATTTCAAATTATGAAAAGAGAAAGCAGAAACTGAATAAGATAAAGCTTGTCAGTAACGTATTTCCATGTGTGATTTATAACATTAAAATATAAATACAATGAATGATAATAAAAGAAAAGAAAAATAAAACATAAGTGAAATCAAAGAATTATTTTAAATTCCAACGAATGGAAAAAAAAAAAATTAAAAATCATGTACATTTAACATTTCGGTGAAGATCTTCTAAGTATTTTAGGTGAAACTTCGATTGTAAAAAAAAACTGAAATACCACAGCCAAATGAAATAACTATTACCCACAGATTATATCCAACGCTATTAAAATACAAAAGTGAAACATCTGAGGAAATCATTAGTGATAAACTTAAAGTGAAAATTACAAAAAGAAAAGAAAAAAAAAAATGAAATACCACATAAATTAAAAGAGAAATAGGTATTCAAATTTTTTCAAACGTTCAGAAACATACCAAACTAAATTATAATAAAAAAAAAAAAAATGCTGCCACATATAAACATAAAATTTTCATATTTTTATAAAAATTTCATACACATATAAGTTAAAGTAATATACCTTAGAATTCGTTTGTATAATATAAGAGGAAAACGTTCCACATTTGCTAACACTTTTGTCGTCTTCAATGCTGCATCTTTTAATTTCGACATCTAATAGAAAAGTTTTAATCATTCGATGTTGCAGACAATTTTAGAATGGAAAAGTTAGATTAAAAAAGTTCGTTGATGAAAATATGAACTTCTCTTCTCCACCAAAAATTAATCTGACTTATTTTTATGATTAGATTAAACTAGCAGTCAGCTAATTAATAACTGACCGTTTTTTAATAATAAAGATTAATAGTAATGCATTTTCCAATGATTAATCATCGAAAGAAACTGTTCTCTGAAACAAGAAATAAGATTGAACATTACTATAATAATTATTTAGCATGCTTTAGTGAATGAATAGCGATAACAGATTAAAGAGTCTTTAAATATTAAATGAATTGAAGTAAAAAGGAAGATCATATCATTTCCATATCCAAATTATAAGCTATCCGTTCAACATTTTAAAGCGCTTTTTTGTGAGATGATGCACAATCTTCTTAATTATTATAGACGTTTTTTACATGTATTATCAAAAAAAAATTTTTTTTCATCTAATTAAATAACTTTTTATTCACATCAAAAACAAATCATAATACTTTTCTTTCTCTTTCATTGAAAATCAAAAGAAAAATTGATCATTAAGCTGATAAAGAACAATTGGTAAAACAAGATAAGCTTCAGAGGAATGAAAATCTGATGAATTTTGATAGAGATGAACTAGTTAACAATGTTGACCATTAATACTCTGAAACGCTCATTATAAGATTACGTTAAATTGTAATCTATTTGTACAACTCATCATTTTCTGATGTCCTGAGTCCTTTAAAATATTTCATCTTATTTTAATCACTGGCAAAGCTACACAGGATAAGCGTCTTGATTCTACACATTTAAGGAAACAGATAAAATTAGAAGACTAGAAGGAAAGAAAAGAATTTTAGAAAAGAAATTGCAAATACAATTGCTAGATCACAAATAAAGAAGAGGGTCAAGTGAAAAGTCCTCAGGACGATTAATTCAAACTTCAAAAATCTAAGAACTCACAAGTTATGGATTCATAATTAACAACTGTCTAATAAGCATTATTTTCTAATGCCAGCTTATATTTCACGTTTTTGTTATAGAATTTATATTTTGCAACAAGAATTTTCCCTGCCAATAAAAGGACATTTTGGATGAAGGATAATTACACAACAAATGCGGTATTGTTGAGCAAATATTTGTCACTACCGTTTAAATATTAGATATCATTATTTTCCTATTATTTTCAGACTTTCAGACTATGCAATGAAACTGACAAATTCGATAATTCTTATATTCAACTAAGTAAGTATTTTCAACACTCATTTTTACCCTCTAAAATGTAGACAACAGTAAATCCTAAACAGAAAATATTACTCCCGAGGTATGTTAAAAAGTACACAAGAAATGTTGAGAACAATTGGTTTCAGAAGATACCATGAATATGTATTCAATTAAAAAGATGAAAAAAAGAGACAGGTATGATTAAAGGACAAACTGCTTTGCAAACAATAAAAACTGAAACAAAAAACTTCACCTCTTTACAACTCTTTACAACAAAATTAAATAATCTAAGAAATCACAATCCTTCTGAAAACTTCAGTGTGGCGAGTATCTTTTCACTTTAGCTTTGAGCAACCTCTTTGAAATGAGCAGTTTCATTTGATTTGAACTTTGGAAGTGTGGGCGGCAACGAATTAACACTGCGACGACGCTCTCGTTTTGGCATATGAGGCACCGGTGATAAGCTAGGGACTCTTTTTGCGACCTAAAGTAAGAGATGTCGTACAGCAAAAGTGTCAACTCACTACGGTTTTTTTAAATTCCTTATCTACCTAAATTTCAAATACCGACTAAAACCTTGCTGAAAACCAGAAACACATGCATTATATAGTAATGTGTGTGGCAAATTGAATGTATGTTTTGCAAAACATAGTCAATTATTCATTTCTAGAGAAACCAAAAGTTATAACACTTGCTTTGAAAAACCAATTGCTTAAGAAATGAAAACCAACCAAATTATTATGCTGATGGATCCCATTAAAATCTCTAAATGAATTTTTCTTTGGACGATCTGAACTGCGTCGCTTACGAGCAGCAGTTGTCGGGCCTGAGCTATTTGTAGGGCTCGAATTAATTGTTTTCATTGTTTCTTCTGTCATGGTCTGAAATATCACGAAATCCTTGAAAAATGATAGTAATTAAAAAAGAATCTTATAAATACAAAAACTTGATTAATTCAACTGATTTTATGCCGATGAAAAAAAAAGTGGCAGCTTATTAAACATATGCAAAATTTTTTTTTTCATAGAGGTATAGGTCAGGAAATAACTAAGAAACTAACGAGTAAAACAACCTTGCTCAGACATTTATTATCGGTTTTAGGCTGCTTCGCAGACAGTATTGCTTGGCACTCAACCTTCAAAATAATATATGACATATATCAATATACATTAATATAGCAAGGAGAAAAGCTCGTTTAAAACTGTAACAGTAATCTGCTCACTTCCTCTGTTTCTTTTTGCTTTTCTGAAGCCAAAGACCGATCTCTTAACTTTCTCGGACCACCATATGATATTTTTGCCTTCAAAGTATTGAACACAATTATTTAAAAAATTAGAAGATAACTCATGTAAGATTAGCAAATAGATAAAACACAATATAGAAGATGGTTAGTGCTCTTTATAAATTAATAAATTAAATCTGAACTATGTGTTGTTTTCTAGTCAAATATGTTTAAAATGTTTTTTTAAAATTAATACTACATGCATGTTTTCCTAACCATTTCGGTATCGCTGTCACTGCTCACATCACAACACAGTGAACACATCCAACCCTGAGTACTTGTCTTTTTCGGCATTTTCAGTAGAGGTGGTTCCAGACATGCCAAATGATAATACTTATAACATTTATCACATTGAGTTAACAAATGTTGCTCAGTCACCTGAAACTATAGCTTTTTTAAAATCATTAACATAATTTTACGTCAGCTTAAACTGAATAAGAAATATGTCTAGTACATTGAATTATATCACTTTTGATAGAAAACTAATTAACACTGATGACGTAGCAGATCAAATAAAACTTTGTCCAAGTTCAGCAGAGTAGATTTTTTGATCAAAGTGGAACATTTCACTACTGTTATATATTTCAATGAAGATCGTGCAAACCTTTTTGCACTCATCGCAAGAGTTTATCTTTAGATCGATCCCCTCAATAGCAACACTATCTAACGAACTGTTTTTTCCTTCACAAATTTTTGCTGACGTCGAAGCTTTGCTGGTAGAAGGACTTTTTGCTGCTACAGAGTTTTGAGATTTTCTCGGTGAACCTTTCCTGCAAAAAAAAAAAAAAAAAAAAAAAAAAAAAAAAAAAAAAATGATGAAAATCATTACAAGATTTGTGAAATATTCCTTGATATTCTTGTATTTGAAAATTCTTTCTCTATTCACTGAAATGCTTCGTTTTGGCACAACTTCTTTAATTTACTGCTCGTTCCATCCAAAAAAAAAAGAATGAATTGTCTCATCAAGAGACCTCAAACTTAGTTTCAATCAAGTTAAGCAGACAAACTAATTAAAAAAATACTTCGTTTTATTTTCAACTGGAGGTGATGGCTTTTCAAGCTTTCGTAATCCCAAAGCATGTAGCGTTTCATACCATTCTTGTAACACTTTTGAATCATCAAAAAACGTGGCTACAGGATTCTGAAAATCCCACAAAATATAACAAAAAACCAGTGCACAACAAGATGTATCGTCAAACTTGCTCACTCATTTGCATCAAAACCGCTAGACTTGCTATTGTTACCGAGAAGGACCTATGGTTTAACTGCAAATAAACAGTTATTATCAAAATAAAATTTTAGATGAGAATGGTAAAAATAATACCCAAAACTATCTGTAGCTAATAACATCAACAAAACAATGTAACCGAAGCACCTGCAATAATTCTTGTAGCTTTTTCTGTTCAGTTCGTAGTTTTTCGTTTTCCCGCTTCAGTTTTTCGAGTTTCTCAGTTTCTTCCGGGATAACATTTTTACGATGATTGAAATACCTTACAAAATATTGCAACTTTATGCGGTGAATAGAGAGAAAAAAAAAAACAATTAAAAAGCTGAGGACTAAGAACCGCTCATTTCGATCAATTCCGGAAGAGTAAGCTAAGGAATCGTAAAAATTTAATAAAACTTTCTTTTGTTCTGTACTCAGTAACATGGAGAACATAAGTTCGTTGCAGAAGAAAAATAAAATTTTTAGGCTCAAAGATAAAACGTGTAAAATTAAAAAAAAAAAACTAACTGAATAAATTCACTCGAAAAACCAGGAGGGAGATATGGTAGTTGAGCGCCGTCAACTTTGATGAAATTTTCCAAAAATTTCTGCCGACTTATCCCACTACTTTTTGCTTTTTCAAAAAACAATTCAAGATACTGGGCACTTGTATGAAACAAGCGCGGACGCTTGTTGTCATGCTGCAAAAAAAAGTGTTCATTTATTTGCTCATTTCTTCCTTATAAACGTATCTATTCATGTAGTAAGTCTATCGTCTTCAGATCGTCTCATACTGACAGATTTTTCTAGCTTAAGTTTGCAAACTGTCAGTAAATAGAATACTATCGTTAGGAGAATACTAGCCAAATAAGTTAAAATTTCGTAAATTCAAAAGCCTATAGAAGCAAACTGGAAGAAACCTCAGGCCATGCAATTGTAATACCTTCCAGATCTTTCATTGCTTTTTTGTGTCTTTCCAGCATTTGTATCCTGCAATTCCGATGTCCTAACTTTTTGAGATTAAAATTTAGTCAATGTTACAAAATTTACGACAGTTTAGTATACGAAATTTAAGACTAATTAATATGGATTTAATAAAATGTGCTTCATACAATCAACCTTTTTCGTTCTTCTCGTTCATTCAGTACTCGTCTTCGAATTCCCAACATCCTCGCTTCCTCCTGTTTATACATCAACTCGCACCTTCAAAATACTATGTATTCTTGAAAAATTTAGACAAACGGTTACGATGTAATAAGTATACTTTAATTAGCCTGGAAATCTAAATTTTGTTCTTTCGGGTACGAATTAGGCATTAAATATTTCTTGCCGCTATTTCTTCCCAGTCAAGAAGTTTTAATAAACTCAGTTAACAAATTAAAATTGAAAGAGTCTGATATTCCGGTTACTTACACTGCTTTTCGCTGCTTCATCAGATTCTCATTTGCATGACGTTTGCATGTCAAATAAAGTGGATCTACTGTTTCGACATCATAAGCTGCTAAACTGAAATCACTTAATTTTTACTCAAAGCTTCTTTTCCCTTAGGCTTTTTTTTCTTATATTATATTTCACTATATTTTACTTTTTTCTACCGAATCTCGATTGTATTCCAACCATTATTTAATACATATAAAGATAAGCAGAAATCAGAAACTAATCTAAATCTAGAAGAAATGCGTGAAAATTAAACATTACGTATTATTATTTGTATTCGTACTATTTGACAAGTTCGGATCAACGCTTTTCTCTGTGTTATCGATCAATAAACCTAATCTGAAAGACTCTACAGTTGTACATTCTGCTTTTGACAAATTAGACCTTTTGCATGCAAAGTTCATCTTTTATTATAAGGAAACGATCACCTTTGTGCACAAGTGACATGAAGATGATTTTTGCACAGTGCAGCATCGCATGGCACTGCAATACCCGTACGCGCTAACAGTTGATCAGAACATGCAACACAAGCCTAAATTTTAAAGAAATTTTAAATTTTATACCAATCACTAAAAGGGAGCAACACATTCCTTGTGCAAGCGAACCCAAGCACCTCCTGCGAAGATGGAATTGCAAACCAGGTTTAGTCGTATAATTCACAAACTAACTTAAGCTCCCGATAGTTATATAACCATAATACAAAAAACATGGGCTATTGGAAAGTTCAGTAATGTTTTCTCACAACCCTTCCTTTCTGGAACGTTTCTATAAATTGTTCAATCTTTAGCTCAAAATTGCTTTAAGCCATACTCGCTTGCCAAACAATTTGTAGTCCTGCTCTTGCCAACTAACAGCTGATAAACGTTCCACATCACCAAATGTTATACCTGGAGTGTACAGCGCGCATAACAAATGTACCCAACCACCGCCAATGTCTGAAAAACCAATGTTAGCCAAAATTTTCGAAGTCGAACAAACAACTCTACCAAGTAATCTTTGTTTGAAAAGTTCACTAGTCTGTGTAAATTCACTGCATACAGGAGAAACTTTCTAGTGTTTCAAAGATAAATGATGATGGCTAAATAGTGTAGTGCTTGAATATGTATATACTATAAATTATATATATATATATATATTAAACTATATTATTATTCATTAAACAGCAGTCATTATTTTTGATATATATGAAGGATATTCCTATATAAGACATAATAACATAAAATTTAACAAATATTCACACAAACTACCTGCTTTTTTAAAAGCACCAAATCTATTTGGGCATAGCTCACAATACGGCGGTTCTTTGAGCCCATATAAACATGCCTCACAGAACCATGGTTCTGTTGATGAACTGGAACCATCACTCTCTGCATCCCCTATATTTTCGGTAATATAACAATTTTCGTGTACTGCTACTCCACATCTATAAGCAAAATCGATAGAGAAGCTGCTCAGCTAAATGCTAAACAAATGATTCTGTCATTTTTATGTGAATATTGACTCACGGTTTTCCCCAAAACCAGTGTTTCAGTAACGATAAAAAATTTATGGTCGATTTCATTAAGCAAAGATTTGCTTTGAATCGGCTGTATTTAAATAAACTAGAATTTAAATGGAGCAATTTCTAAGGAATGTAGGGTTTGACTTACTTATCACACTGAATGACTTCATCATTACGTACAACAGCACGCTGATTTAGACACAATGTACAGATCAACTGATCCTGAAAAAACAAATTTCTGTTTGAAAGTTTTGCACTATCCTATAAAAGATTTCGTGCGCAGGAATGAAGCTTTCATCATAAACATTCTCATAAGATGTCGTTCATTTCTCCCATTTAATAATCACGCTCGCTTTCGAAAAAATGTTACACTAGGAATATAAAAAGTGGCTGCAGCCAAGTCTGATAAACCTCTGCATTCCAAGTTAAAAATAAACTTTGCCAGCAAAATTCAAAATAAGAAAAACAAACGAAGCCAAAAATATGAAACTATTTTGAGTTGAAAAAAGAAATTACCGGCTGAATATTATAGCCATTTGCACCCATAATATTTGGTTTTGTATCCTGTAAAAAAAAAAAAAAAAAAAACAATCAGGAAGAAGGTTTTGAAGCCAATAGCAGAATCTAACTTCTATGTAAAAACAAATAAGGGACTGAAGACCTTTATCCGATGCTTTTCAGAACTACTGTCTGATTCACTCGAATCTGAAGTTTGCGCAACACTGTCGTTCTCATCGTCTTTCTCTCCATTGCCATCATTGCTTGACAAATCCGAATTAGACGACAACTCATCGCCAGTTCTTCCAGCTGTCATGGAGAAGAATAATTTCTATATGATTAACCAAAAACTTCAAACTCTAAAATTTAACTTATTGGCAATATTTTGAAATGTAAATAAAGCTTATTAAATATTACGTTGAGTTTAAAGGTTTCAAAAGGCCTAAAAAGTAAGTACCAATACTGATATAAACTTCAAAATGAATTTTGAACTTTTATAACTAACCGATGAAATCATCATCTTCATCACTATCGCTAAGCGGAATGGCATCGAACAAAATATTAGCATTTGGCTTAATCTGTCGCTTGCCTGGAGCTCGTGAAGCTAAAAATAAATGCAAAAACGAGTTAAAAAAAAAAGATTTTGAATTTTGAAATTGCCATAAATTGCGTTAGAGAAACCAGTTTAAACCAAATCCTCAATTGATGATTTAACTCATTAATCCATTAACTAATTTCCTGACTTAAATCCTATTAGCAGAGGGCAATCCATCACATTTAGGAAGCAGTAAGCCAAGCAAAAATATAAATTCCTGATAGTAGCCTATCATTCAGATGTACTATTTTATAGCTCTCAGAAATATGGAATGCACCTTAAATAGAAGCACACAGGTTACATCTTAAGTATTATGGAATTCACGTACCCAAGTATCATAAATAAATATATAACTGTACTTCTAACAACTTTTTATCTCAACTATATAATGCCGAAACTGCAACATTGCTAAATCACATTCTATTAAATAAAACTCTATGCTTTCAACTTTATTAATAGATGTGTGAATGGCAATAAATTTTCTACATAATGTCAATAAATACTAAGACAAATGATAATGATGATAATAATAATAATAATAATTATAATTATAATGATGGAATAAAAAATATAAAAATTAAATTTAAAACAGTATATGAGATTAGAAATAAAACTAAAGTTAAAAAAGTATTAAATGTTATGCACAACAAAAAACAGATTATCCTTGCATATGCATTCCCAATAGAACTTAAAACTCCCTGCAACCCTTAACACAAATTCATCCCGCCTTAAAGCATTTCAAATTTGCCGCCGAAAGCCGAACCATATGCATGGAATGCAGCCGCCTACGAAGTTTAGGGGAGTGAGTTTTTTGATGAGAGATGTGGGAAGTTCATTGAACTTACATGAAAGGGTGAAGAAACTTCGTTTTTCGTCTTCTGTCATTTGTATAGATTCTTCGGAAGTTTCGCGATGCCGCGGGGAGACACCCGAATGGCTGAAACTCACGAATAAGAATCAACGAAATGTCCACCATACACTTGCACAATCGAGATCTTCCGTATCAATAACAATAACGACTATAACAACACTATATCAAAGAAAATACATATACATCTCACTCATACACCTTAATTTCACTACCTTAATAATTGTTATCACTATCAGTGCTAATTTGAACTTTTCTCTTGAAGAGAAATTTCGCTATGAGATATATTAATACATAGGTGAATTATACTACAAGTAATGAGTTATTCATCTTTTATTAATCTCATTTCTGAAGCTTATCATCAATCCAACCAATAAATGTATGAGTGATAATTATGATGATTCGTTATAAAAATTGAAAAAAAAATTACATTATATAGTTATAAAACTTATATTCATCAAGTATTTAAACATTCATTACTTCAAATTTCTAGCATTCCACTACTACTACTACTATAGTAGTGAAATTTTGCTATCACATTAAATACTACCTTCTGCATTAATAGAAATATTAATAAAATGTATAATAGTATAATAATTAGTATAATATTAATAAATAAAAACGTTATATTATGCAGTTATAAAAATTGTCTTCATCAAATATTACTAGCAATTGATATACATTGTAATTGTAATTAAATGAATGAAATGAACTGTAAATGTAGCGCATGCACGCAAAAAAAGGAAAAAAAAAACAAATAAATGTAAGTAAACAACCGATCAGATCGGATTGGTAAATAGAAAGTAAAAAGAAAAAAAAAGTTGCAACGAGTAATTTCCAATTTTTGCATAACTGTCGAGTAGCTATCATATCAAAATATGCAAATATCAAGCATGAAATTATTTGGAATAAAATGAAAGTTATTGAATGAATAACTTATGAACGATTAGAAGAATTAAGGGAACTAATAATTGTATATACAGAAATAAGCAATACATGTCACTCTCTTTCCTCTTCCAACCTTCTCTCCTCTGCTCTCCACTCCTGTCTCACCTGTATTAATAATTATTAGGCTCATTCAGGTAATGTCATCAAATTTCATCAACAATGATGCATATTTCAATTAAATACACAGTGCAATCTTAAAATTATAAATTTGCATGATTTCTTCAAAATGCTATAATAGCTGACCTATCTATGTCTCTTCAAACCAATAGTTTTTATTTTATCACTTCAAAAATTTAAACCTATCGGCATTTTTATAAGTTATAGCAAAAAAAAAAAAAAAAACGAAGCAAAAAAGAATAACTCAATTAGTTTTATTTTTTATCAATTCTAATCAATACTAGTCATTATATCAGCCTCTAATCGAACTTAGACTATTTCTAGGCCTGTTTATCTCAGTTATTTTGTTAAGTAATAAAGTGCAATTGTAATTTATCTCAGCACATCATAAATCTTCCATTACTGAAAATTGTTAACAGACGAAATTTTATGCCATGAAATTGAATAACGTTGGCTTCTAGAAGTGTTCTAAATTGTACTACGAAGAGAGCAAAAATCAAAATTGTGGATAGTTATGAAATATAAAACTAAACATTAAAAGTAATAAAATAAGGATATATAATATTTGCTTCAATTTTAAGATTTGAAATGATATTTCGTGAATGTAACTTTTTTCTTTTTTCATGAATTTTTTCTCTTAAATTTCTTTAAATCAAATTTAAAAAGGAAGAAAACGTTGTTTAAATGAATGAATTGAACAAATAATTACAAGCAGATAACAATAGCAACTATTGTAAGCTATCATATAAGATAAGAATTATGATTACTGTGCAAACTGATAAGTGCAATTGAATGATAAGTGTGAAATTATCAGTTTCTACAATTCATTCCAAAAAAAATTAAGCACTGAAAAATGATGAAATTTCACCTGATGTTAATATTAGTTAGATAAGTGGCAAGGGAATGAAGTGCGACAAAAGGTAGGTATATTTCAGAGGAAGAAGAAGAGGAATGAGAAGGAAATGATAAAAGCCTTTGTTAAAATGACTAATAACAAATATTTGATCTAACTAAATAGAATATAGTTTTATGATAATTGCCCGCATGGGTAAATAAGAGAAAAGGTATACTGATGATAAATAGTTGCATTATAAGCTATCATTATGAGATCACTGGAAAAATTTACTATTATTGATTGGTTTAATTGAATGATAGATCTAACAGACCAATAAATTTATATGCTATGAAAATGATAAGTTATTTGTAACTGATATAAATGTGTTAACAAAACAGTTAACTGATGAGAGAAGTAAATAGATACTTGAAAATATGGAATATTTTCTTGAAAAAAGTCTAACAAATTTGCATAGACCAAATTATGATGTACTATTTCATTCATGATTATCAGTTTAGTGACATTTGATATCTTTCAAATAATTTCAAATATTAAATTCATTTAATTCGAGAATTTACATTCTGGAATCTTTCACTGATTGCTAGTTAATAGCTCTATTTTTAAAGTGTAAAAAGCTATGGGAGAAAAAATCATTTGATAATATTTGCTTATATCATTGATAATGGATTAGAATAATTAAGGGAAATTTGTTGGAAAATGTATACAAATATTTAATCAGTTCCTAAGAAAAAGTACACGTATACGTGATAGCTAAGAAAGTTTTGAATTATAGATAAAGCTAGCACTTCTATCTATGCTTTATCTATTTGGTAAGAAGTTAGTTAGATTATAGCTGACATTTTCTAATGTTCTACTAGCACTGAAATCAAGCGTACTTCTAACTTAATCTCATTAATAATAACACATTCTATTTAGCATTTCGAAAAAATATTGTTACATTATATTTCATAGAAATATAATTAATTGTTGGTTAATTTGTTTTAGAAGCAAAAAAAAAAAGTCAATTATTGCAATATCAATTGTAATGAATATAAAACAAAAGTAATAAAATAAATGATAAAAGGATGATTTGATAAAAAGGAAATACACATAAATAATGATATAATTGATATTAAAATTAGCAATATAATTATTTATAAATGATCACTCACTTATATGATATTAAAATACACAATAATTATATGATTGAAAAATGTATCAAAAAACGAGTAATAAACAATTGCACATTTTTGATAAATACCAATAAAAATCAATAAATTGTCTTAATTTATTGAAAATTTTTATTTAATATAAAATGGTTAAATTTTTGTTAAGTAAATAAGTGAAAAATAAAATAATCAATAAATAACATAGGAAGAGAATGAATGATTCCTTTTTTTATTTTTTATTTTTTCTAACTAAAATTTAATAGCATAAAATATCACTATTGACCAACAAAAAACGAAACAGGCACATAACGACCTTGTAGATTTGTCTTCTCGGATGAAAGTTTTATAAATAATTAAATGATTGTATTTGATATTTTAAAAAAGGACAATTAGTAGTAAAAGAAATTACGGCTTCAACTTTTTGACGAATTCTTGAAAAAAAAATATTTAATTCTTATTATTTTGAATAAATGAAATGCAAAATTCTCGTTTTCTTTTTTTTTTTTCTTTCTTTTTTCATCATTAATTTAAAATTTAAATTAGGCTTATAATATCATAAACTTTCACTTTGAAAAGAATTCTTTGATAATATGTGTGAAGAGAAGAAATAAACAAAAGTAAATTGATTTATCAATAGAAAGTATTCATTTTTTTTTGTTTTATTTCAAAAAGTGTAAGTAAAAATAGAAAAAAAAATGAAACGAAATATTATTATTTGCTTTGTAAAATAAACTAATTTTCATTCATACCAATTTCTTTGCTAATGCTGTGACAAAAAAAAAAAAACATTGACAACTGATGTCTCGATTTTACTACTACTCATTTGTTACTATCGCTCGATATTCAACTCTGTCTACGCGTTCGTTTGTTAGTGTTAGTATCCGGTTGAATTCAAACATCGACCCATTTAACCATTAGTATCATTCTCGACAAATCTTCTATCTCAAGCGTACCCATCCGTCTGTGCTATTTCTCGAATCAATCAAATTGAATTACTGATTGCACGTAAACTCGAATTTTTAATGATTACTTTTGCACTGAAATCATCTCAGATACTTTTTTTTTTTTGATAGATTGTGGGTTACGTTGTATTGAAGTGCTGATAGGATGAACAATTGTTAGTGACTGATTAAATGATTGAATTTTCAGAATCTTCGATGACATCAGATGAAGGATATTTTGGAAGCTTGTCGGTTCCATTATTTGGTGTTTTGACATGTGCTGGTATCTATTTTTTGAGGTGATTGGAATTAAGGAATTGAAGTTAATGTTCACCTTACCTTGTAGATTCACATTTATTTTATCATTAACACCTTTTCTAGAAACGGAAAATTTTTTCTTTCATACATTCCGGTTTCTATGAGTGATGATAGAATGATCTGATATGTTGACTAGTCATCACAGTCAACAGATCAAGTTTAACGTTCCATCGTTATGCGAATACTTACAGTGAATATATCTGTAAAACAGAGTAATTATAAATTATTTATTATTTTTTTTCATAGTAAAACATTACAGTGTATGCTATCGCAATAGATTGATTTGTAACGAAAGTTTGCATGATTCGATTTCGACAACCATTTGCTCCATTTTACATTACACAAATTCTCTGCACTTAATTAATTGATATGAAAGAAAAAGAAAAGAAAAAAGAAAAGCAGATTCCTGAGTGATTTAAACTAAATGAAGCAATGAAAAAATAAATAAATAAGGCAGTAGGATTTACTTAGAAATAGGAATCGAAAAAAATATTGTCCAATACTATCAAATTCATTTTCATTTTCTCTTTTATGTCACATTTATCATAAGTTTTATATCAATTTAATTGAAGAATGAACAAGAAATAAACACTGTTTTCATTTTTTTTTTTTAGACGTTACTTGAAAGGTGCACAGTTCAATGAATATGTGGAAGCTGGAGGAAAAATAGCATTAGTTACTGGAGCAAGTGCAGGTATTGGAAAGCAAACAGCCCGAGAGCTTAACCTTCGAGGTGCAACTGTTTATATGTTGTGTAGAGATCGTGCAAAATCGGAAAATGCAAGAATTGAATTGACAAAAGTAAGAAAATTTTCAAAATTCAGCTCTATAAAGTTAAGGACGAATTACCGCAAGTCTAAATGTGCTCTTCATGCATTCAAATGTAATTTACTGATCTAAGATGTCATTTTTGGAGATAATTATGCATTTTATCTGTTCTTTTTGGCAAAATAGAAGCGTTCATGTTCAGATATATGTTTATGGAAATAACTTATGAAATGAAATTAATATGACATTATTTTATTTTTTTAAAAGTTTTTTGGATACTTAAAAAAATATTTTCTTGTCGACTAAGTGAAGTAAGAAATTTTCACGTGCTTTTAAACTTTACTCTTCTTGCATTTAAGTTGGGTTGCAATCCAACGAGATTAATATTGAAAGATGTGGATTTGGCAAGCTTTGCAACAATTCGGAAATTTGCTGATGAAATTAGATATGGTTAGCCTGTACCTTGAAAATTAATTAGGCGATTAAGATTAGTAGCTATTTAATGAATGAATTTTGAATTAGAATCTTCTCATTTCGCTTTTTACTTATCTATAAAATACGTTACTTTTAAAAGTTTAGAAGTAAGCAAATCCTGAGTTTGAAATTGTTGGATTTCTAAAGTTCTAGTTCAATGCTTATCAGTTTTATGTTAGAACTGCTTTTAGTAAACTCTTCCTGTCATTTTTGCTTTTTGTGCATAATAGCACTACTATATTCCAAATGTGATCAGATATCAGTTATCTCAGCAATTATAAATGCTTTTTCGTTCATCTTTAAATTAATAATCTGCACTTTTAAGAGGTGGATAAAATAGACATACTTGTGAACAATGCAGGAATAATGTTTTATCCAAAATTCGAGTTAACAGAAGATGGCCATGAAATGACATGGCAAACGAACTATCTTGGTATGCCATGTCAATTTTTATTTTTCGGCTATATTTTTAAAAAAATCCAACACTAGGAAGTTTCGTAGGATAAGATTTTAATTCTGTTTATGTTTTTCCTATTAATACAGTTTGTTATATTTCAGCAATACTACTCATTTGTTAGTATTGGATTCCTTTTATTACAAAAATTAGAATTTCTAACTGCCTTAATACATTTGACTTATACATACGCGCATATGCGCATTTCTTTATTTCCTTTATTTACTTGATATATGTATTACTTACTTATATTGTTTGCGGAAAAAAAAATGAGAAGAAAGAAAATGCTTTATTTCCGAATAACGCTGAGTGATAAGACATGCAGTAAGTTAGAATTAATCAAAAATGTGTGAAAAAACAAAATTAGTAAAATATAAATGGAATGCAAGTCAAAGTCAAAAATGTATGATGCACTTTTTACTAGTAAGACTCATAAAGTTAACTTATCGTAAGATGATATAGTGTCTAATTTTTTTTTTTCAAGCATACATTTTTTAGCATACTTGATAATTCTCATCTTCTTTTATCAGTGACACACAATAGAAAAATACCTACAACATTTTTTATTACAATAAAAAATACCTGCAACATAATTTATTATATTGTGCTTAATTAATAAGCAGTTAACATTCACTGAAATATTTTTTTTTTTTTGCAGGACATTTTCTACTTACTGAACTATTACTTCCATTGATTAAGAAGTCATCGAATGGACGAATTATCAACGTTTCCAGTTCACTTCATAAAACGGCTGATAGTGTTGATGTTTCTATCGTTAATAACAAAAAATATTTCAGTAAATCGATGCCATATAGTAGATCAAAGTTAGCTCAGGTTATTTTTTCTTTTTTTCGTCGTTCAAAAATTTCTTTAAATATTGATTTTTGTGCGCTAATGATTAATAAAATTTTAAGGATAAAATGTTTGATGCATATTTGCAGAATTTTGTCGTTTTGTTTATCTTATTTATTTATCCTTTAGGTTATGCATGTTCGTGAATTAACCAGACGACTAAGGACAAAGGATCCAGGAACTACAGTAACAATCAATGCTGTACATCCCGGTGTTTGTTTCACTGAACTTATGCGCTATACGGTTTTCAGCCGGAAATATATCCTAAAAATCATTTCACCACTTCTTTGGTTCTTCATGAAGACTGATAAAGTAATTTTGTTATTTCTATTAAATTGTTAAGCAATTCGAGTTCTACATTTAAGTAATTGTCCTTAAAAAAAAAAAGAAAAAATAATTTAGGTTGACTATCTTAATCAACGATTAAATAAACTATGTTCCAGGATAAATTTTCTGCATTTAGTTGAGATTCCGTTCTTAGCTTATTTTGAAGAGCAAATGATATGAAACTAGAAATTTAATTTAAGAGCAATCATTAAAGATTGCTTATTGTAGCCAAGTTTTTAAGTTGAATTATTTTTAGGATGGTGCGCAAACAACGTTGTATGTGGCTTTAAGCAAAAATGTGGAAGCTATTTCGGGCAGATATTTTGGGTTTGTCTTTTAAATATTTTAAAAGGAATAGTAAAGGGTCAAATTTGTTTTTTATAGGAACGGTGGAAATGCTATTCTCCTATTTTAGCTCCTTCCTATAATGGAACATTGAGATGTTTAATTAAGCTATTTCAAAAATTTCATTTACAGTAGTTTGAGATAGTTCATATTATTTGTTTCAGATTTTCTTTTTAAAATTTCAACTTAAATTTGAAATGATTTCAGCAAAATGAATATGGACAAAAATTTTGTTTTAGGGAATGTAAAGAACATACTCCTTCGCCGAATTCATTGGATGACACTAAATGTAATATACTGTATAATCAAAGTTTGGAAGCAGTGAAACTATCGGAATGATTTAATTGCATCTAACCTGCAGAAATTAATGTTGATATTACCTGTGTGTAATTTATCCATGATTAATTTCTTTTTGCAGGTGTTAAGATGACACTTTTATTTTAGATTGAGCTCAATATTTTTGAATTTTTCTCTCCGGTAAAAATAAATGTGTGCTATGTCAATTATTTGTTTTGATATGCAGTGTTTTAGTATTATATTTCAAGTCTGGTTCAATAATAACCAAATCACAAGAGTAATTAAAAATATTATATCTCTAAATTTCAATATTTTATATTTTTATGAATTTTTCTAACAATTTATGATTCTTTCTAACATAAGTTATACTGAATGTTTGCTACACTATTTCATAATTAATAATTAAAAAATTGAATAAAATTAATTTGCGACAAGATATTATATTTAAACTTTGAATTTTTCATTTTTAGAAGCATTAAAGAGTATCAAATCTCTTAAATTACAAATTCATGTCATTATAATGTTGTGTGTTAATAAATGATAATCAGTTATCAGTGATACTTAAATATGTTTTACAAAAAATTTAAGTGATACGTTTACAAATATGTTTTAAACTTATTCACTTTTAATAGAAATAAGAGTTAAACACAAATGAATGATATAGCTTGTTTTGTCTGATTAAAATGATATAATCTGAATATGTTAAGCATTATTAATTTTTTAATGGTATTTAACAAAAAAATGAAATAATTTTTTTTCTCTTCTTAAATAAAAATATTTTTTTTTAAAAAAAAAAAAAAAAAAAACATAAAAGATAAGTAAGCAAATGAAGGCGTTAATATCTGTTATCATTTAGCAACAATTAATTAATTTATTTGCGACAGAAATATGCGATGGAATTTTATTTCTCTTTTAAATTTTAAATATTACTAAATTAAAAAATTGTATGAATCTAGCATGCATTATTTTAAAAGAGTTAAAATTGAAATCTTTAAATGCATTATTTAATATTTCATAGTTCAGATATCATTTGTGAATTTTAATAGAAGTAAATTTGATTGAATTCAGTGATAAGGAAATGTTTAACTATTTAAGTAACTATTAATAATTAATTTTGCAGTAGTTAGTATTTTTTGGTCTTTTTTCTGATAAATTTCTGATATAAACAAAATTTTAAGATATGAAATTTATTTGATAAAAAATATTTCAATAGCTAAACATTGATATTTTTTTTTCATTGTATTTTTTTTTTTTTTTTTTTTGCTTAATACTTTAAATAGGAAGATATCAATTAATTAATTAATTAATTAATGAAAAATTCTTATTACAAATTCTTTATTTCTTTTATATTTCAATTCGCTTTTTTTTTTCATCACTGAAAACTAAACATTTAAATGAGTAATGTTTCAATTAATATTTTAACTTTGATACTTACTAAATTTAAACCTTTTTTGTTTAACGTAGTAAAAAGTTATTATTTAAAAGTTAAGTTAGTTATTATACTAAAAGTTATTTGAAATTAAATTTATCAAATTTATCATATATTATCATACTACGAAAGTATAAAACGTTTGTCACTTTGATAAAATTTTTAATTTTCAGATTGTTTTTCCCATTTATTTAATATTTTAAAAAATTAATGATTTTTTTTTTAATTCAATTTTTAAAAAAAATTAAATTAAATTAAAAATGTTCTTCAAATTTTGTTTTTTTTTTCAGATTTTTTTTTTTGAAAATAACTTTAAATTTTCTTAAGAAAATTCCTGCGAATATAATATATCATCTATTTAAAAAAAAAAATAAATAGAAAATCGAATCAAATTTTCTTAATTTTTTACAAAAATTTCGAATTTTATTTTATCTCTAATTGGACTCTTATCAAAAAAATATCCATTTTCTTTAATTCATCTTTTTTTTTTTTTTTTTAAATAATACAAAAGTTTTTAAATTGAAGTAATATATTATGGGATAATGTCAAAATGATTTTACACCAAAAATTTGAGTTTGTTGATAAATTATCATCGATAAACAGTAATTCCTACTGAAAATGACAGTCTATTTGGACAGCTTTTTGTCATTTGCCTTTTGTTTGAATGTAAAAATAACAAACAAATCAATAATTTAAGCATAAATTTAAAATTAGAAAATAATATTTGATTGTAAAAGTTTATTCGTTTTTTTTTTTTTTTGTCACATCATTGGATGATATATCATTTTGGTTGCTAATTTTTTAAAATTAAAAATTTTTGAATCATTTAAAAAATGAAAAAAAGAAGATTTCATCTGATAAAATATTCATATTCTTACCATTATTATTGCTAGCATAAATATAGTATCATTCATTTATCAGTAATGAACAATAAAACTAGCAAATTCTATATTTTATTGATAGCATTATTGGAAATTATTTTTATTTTTTTTATTAAAAAATAATTGGAAAAAGTTTGAAGAAGCAGAGATGAAATGAAATAATAATTACATTCAAAAAGTTTTCGATTTTTTTCTAATTTTTTTAATGAATTTGATTTGGCTAAAATATTTTGTTCAAATTTATTAAATTAATTAAAAATTGTGATTAAAATATTTACATTTGCTATTTTAGCTCGTATTTTTGAGTTTTTTTTGCACAAACGTTTTTCTAATTTTTTTTTTTCAAATTTAAATTTATAATTTACAAATAAAAAAAAAAAGCAAATCTTGCAATTTAATTTTACCCTAATTTATCTCATTAAAAAAACTTTTGAAATTTTCATCTTTTTTTTTTTCTATTAAATTAAATATTAAAAAAATTGTATGAAATAAAAAAAAAAAAAAATGAAAAGAAATTATTCATATAGTGATTACTGAATATTTGAAAATCATTCATTTTTAACATTTTTTTAATTTAAAATTTTTTTTATTTTAATAAATTTCAAGTATTATCACTTATTTGTCACATATTTTGTTTGTTTTATTTATAATTTGATCAAAATAATAATAATAATAATACTAAAAATGCTTTTTGTTTGTTCAGCTTGTATAAATTTACAAATTTATATGCAATGTTTACACAAAAAAAGCAAAAAAAAAAAAAGAAAGGTATTAATTTAAAAGATACAAATATAAATAATAAAATCAGATTGAATGAAATAGTTTAGATAAAAATGGCTTTATCCAACAATTGTAACAATCTTAAACTGATAACTATTCTTATCATACTTTTAAATCACTATCAGATATATGCAATGGCTCAGGATAAGAATGAAAAAGTGGCCAAAAATATAAGTAATGAATTGAGCCAGAAGAATGTAAGTGGACGAATGAATCGAGCTATGAGCAAAGCAAAGACTGAAATGATCCAAGAGGATTTGGACAAACAAATGAGTCGAGTTATGAGTAAAGAATTGACTCAAATGGGCCAAGAAGATGTGGATGAACAAATGAGTCGAGCTATGAGAAAAGAATTGGCTCAAAAAATGAATAAAGTATTAACTAAAGAAGCGAATGAAGAATGTATGTTTGTTTTTTTGTTTTTTTTTTTTTTTTTTTTTTTTTTTTTTTTTTAGCTAAAATTTATGTTAAATATATTTTAGATTAAATCTTTTCTTTAAATCATTTAAAATTTTTCAACTTTTGACAGTTAGAGTTTTGCAAATTAAAGACGCTTATACTTATTTGATATAACGTTTAACTCTTACAATAGTTGTTGATCTTTGTTATTGTAAAATATGCAAATGATGGTTTTTTTTTTTTTTTTTTAATAAATGAGTTAAATAAAAAACCAAAAATGACTTGAATTTATTTTTAGCAATAGCCGATGCTACCAACATTTCAACTTCAGGTATGAATGTATTTCATTAAATTTCAAACTAACTTATTTTGATTAGTTTGAGTTTAAAGTAAAATTAAGCAGTGTAAACTTAACAACTGTCATCCTTCTACTTTATCAATAAATTTGAGTACAACTTAATTTGATTTCAATTTTATCTTTATATGCTAAATTATTAATGTAACGTGAAGTTCTCAAATGCCTTTTATTACGTAGAATTATGTTATGATTCGGCTTTACCTGGTCGTGAATCGGATTGTACAAAGTATGGTTACCTTTGTGACAATATTTTATACTATAATTTGATGACCTGGCAATGTCCAGTAACATGTGATCGTTGTTCTGATCTAATTACTTCATCACCTCGTACAGGTAGGTTAGGTTTATATTCTTACAAAATTTTCAGTGAAAATTTACATCAAAAGATAGCACAAGCAATAATTAATCTTTTATTAGTGTACATATGGAATGAATAATTTTTTTAAGCATTGAAAAAATGAAACTCAATAAAAATTAAATCATTCGCTATTGCAGATAGTTATGAATGAATGAAGAAAAAAAAAAAGCAATATTTTTGTAGGTAAACTTACAAATGGTACCTGTGTTGATCTAAAAGGTTCAAATGGTCATTCGGATTGTCGAAGATATGCAATGCTATGTCGAGATCCACGTTATGCCTCACTAATGGCAACTGAATGTCCTAAGACTTGCAAATATTGTTCGGAACATTGATCATATCAGAAATATTGATACAATTGTTGAAATTTAAATGCTTCTAAAAAGCATTTAAATAACACATTACTTATCATATGCTTTGGATATAATATTGCTTTTTAGTATAAACAATTTGTTAGATTTTGTACAATAAAATATCAATAAAGCATCTTTCAAATACAATTGCTATTAGCACAATTGATGGCAAACAAATTGCCAAAAATGATAGCAAAAATCTAAAATATTCTACTACGATGTTATCGAAGCTATTGTTTTGCAGTAGATATTGATAAAAACCAGATATTAAGAGTTTAAAAAAAATACATAACATATAAAAATATCCTGAACAAAAAAAGATGGTACAATGCAATGCAAAAACTGAAAAATGTGGAAAAAAGTTTGCTGCTCAAACGCACAAAATTTACAATTGGAAAAACTTTTTTTGGACAGAAATAAAAAGCAGTAGTTTTACACAACAAAAGAATTATAAAAATATGAAGAAAGAATTTTACAGAAAGAAAAAAATATGGCATGTTGGTGGGGAAATTATACCAAACAGAAAACCTGTTAAGCACTAACTACTACTCAGCATCTACCTACTGAACTTCATTTCGGAATTATTTTCAAAATAATTCATTCTTTCCTTAAAACGATAAGCTAATAAATTGCACTCAATTCCAGAAATATGAATAGATTATTGTAAGTCTTACTTTTGCTCAAAAATAATGAACAAGTAATGGAAATGTAATTAAAAGTGATGATAAATCCTAATCTTATTATCATTTTGAGACACTCAGCCATAAACGAAGCAGTAAAGAATGACACAAAATTACTGTAAAATTAACTTTTAAGCAATGAATCCAACAAATTGCTCAATCTTCGCCATAAACGAAGCAGTAAAGAATGACACAAAATTACTGTAAAATTAACTTTTAAGCAATGAATCCAACAAATTGCTCAATCTTCGAACATTCCTTGAATTCAGATACAATTTAATACATGGAATTGAATTACTTACATATATTTACATGTACTTACAAACCTTACGTTTTTTTTTTTTTTTAATGAATGCATGCTATGCAAGTGGATTCATCAATTACGTAAGAATATTTCTTTTTTTTTTTTTTTTTTCACAAGCAGAACAAAATAAAATCTATGCAGTAGAATGATTCAAAGGTGGAAAGTTATCTGCTATTTGCCTATCCATAGTTTGTCCTTCGTCATCTTCCGTTCCATCATTTTCTTCATTATTTTCATTGTTGGGTGGATCATTTGCATGGACTACTGGAGAATACTAAAAATTCTCTTAATTTATTCATGAATAAACAAAAAAAAAAACTCATGAGTTTTTTTTTTTGAATGGAAATTTTAGTATACTGTACTCTCTTATGTTATTGCATTCAGAAAGAACAAAGTTTAAGCTCTTCGTTAATCATGTAAATGTTCTAAACTTTAGAATCAATAACTAAAATACATGTAATACGTGCACAAATGCTGACATCACTATATCGTATACTTTTGTTCAATTGAAGAGTAAAAAAAAAAGTCAAACCTTTATGTTAACTTTATGTTGTCGTAATAGCGTCAATTCACCTCCTTCTGCCTCTACGGGATATATGTATACAAAGCCATCAGTAGTTACAACCAGCAAATTTAGTTTGTCATTAATTCTAAAAATAGCAGTAAATATGCAAAAGATTTCAATCATCAACATTAAAACTATGAAGAAATTATCGGCGATGCAATAAAGTATACTGCATCACTGGAAACTTTATGTAATGCGATACCTAAAAACTGAACATACAATGCAAATAAGCTCCCAGTTATTCATCAATTTTTCAATTTAGTAAGTTGAATATTTTAGTAAAGATTTTCCTAGAGTTATGGTGAAATTTTTTATAGGAACAAGTAAAGCTTACAAGTTTGTTATCAAAATAGATCTAAAATGATCATTAGAACAATCAGTCCCTTCCAAATGGGAATATAACAATTATGAGATACAAGATATCTGAGGTTAATTAGCATTAACATAGAAAAGTTACATTGATAGCGCAACCGCATTCCGCTTTCCAACTGAAGGCAATCTTGCGGTAGCAAAACTTTTTGCTCTCAACCAAAGATCATTCATTTGTGCTGGTAAATAACTACTCGCTTGTTTTGACAAATAATCTACCCATCCTTGTTCTTCAGTGTCCTCATTTCTGAAATTTAATGCTATCAATATTATGAGAAATCCTAAATTTTAATTCATGAACTGAAAAAACAATAACCGGTTACTGTATTTCTCTTTGCTTCTGCTTAAAAAGTAAAGCACAACTGTATTCATCGAATTCAAACATGACAATGTAATGTATACGAAATAATAATAGCCGATATACGTTAAATTCGAAAATAAAAAAACAAAGATTAAATGGTGCCCAGATCTCAAATTTTAGCGTCATAATTTGTAAATCGAAGTAAAAAAAAAAAAAAAATTAAAAAGCAGATGACATGTCTTTCAAGAACTGTAGAAAATTATCAAATAAGTATATCTTACTCATTTACTGGATCAGCTGTTCGTTCCAATTTGAACACATGAACCGTTTCGGTATTACTTGAAGAACATAAATAGTTACCATCGAGACTAAATGCCAATGAATAAATGGTAACAAACCTGCAAATTGATTAATTTAATCTATCTAAAACTAATAAAGAAAATTTTCACTATATGCAAAAATTACCTTTTAACACCGCGTGTAAACTCATACAGTCGATCGCCAGATTCAGTATCGAATACACGAATTACAGTACCACGGGTTGAAGCAGTAGCTAATTTTTTACCATCGTAACTAAAACGTAACGCTGCCAATGGGCTTGTATGCGCCGAAATTGTATTCATCGAATTCAAACATGACACGTCAAATAATTGAACTTGAAAAAATGTTAAAATTAATATTAATTTTGAAATGCATCACTGTTTTATCTTACTGCTCTCATGTTTTATACCTTTTTTATGCAGAAATTTATCGTATGTAATGTTAATTTATGAATGAAAAAATAAAAAAACCTTACTTTTTTACAAACTACTGAGCTTTGTATTAGTAGTAGAATGAGTGCTCTTCTATTAAAATTCATTTTCACTACTCTTATTCAATGGTGTTGTAATAAACAAGCAAACAACTCTAAGAATTCTGCATTCTAATAATACTATGACAGAAAAAAACCAAAAGAATAATTACCATGGCCATTGTTAATTGAGCCTGGATAAGCTAAAAACGAATTGACGGTTGATGACAAGTCGATGATACCATTAGTATTTGAAGGCGTATCACGGATTGTATGAATAACCGGAAAAATATCAACTTCAATAAAACATAATTTTGTTTTATATAAATTTATTTGATAAATAAGTTTCCTTCATTTCTACGTAAAATCACGAATTCTATCCAAACAAAAACTCAACATATATGAAATCCAAGCAAAGTTAATAGTATGAGTAATCTAACATGCAATATATATAGTATTGTTAAATGTGATTTCAATTTGATAAACGATATGAACACATAATAGATTAGATGAATGAGATCGTTATTTGTAAACAACCAATGATTGCTTCCACATTAAGTGGTACATTAATTTTAGAGTTTTCCTGTGGTTCACTTCCGATCAGAAATGTCTATAATAATAACTCGAGTAATGATAAATCAGCTGTTCTTTCAGAATTTCGAAACATTAATAAAAGCATCAACTTGCATATCAATAAGTAAATTCTTCAACAGTGAGCTAGAAGTTCTCAAAATTAATGAATCTCTTTCAAGCTTTTTCCCTTCTTTTATTCATCTTCCTTTATTTTGCAAACTGTCAAAGTGAAAACAAAAACCTTAAGATTTTTGCATAACAGAATATTTTAAACAGTTATTCATAAAGATAGCAATATGATCTCCTGACGAATAATTGAACTTCGTGTAATACATTAAAAGTTGGCTTGATGACCATAATTCTTTCCAGATGACTGTAGTCAAAATTGTGTCATCTTATGCCAATTTTTTCAGTATTATTACATATTAAAAAAGACTTGTTGAAAATTTAAAAAAAGAATTTGCTTTACTATTCGCTGCTTTGCCTCTTATTGTGTTTCTGCTTAAACATATTCAATTTTTTTTCGTCATATAGCATAGCGACGTATTAGTGCATATGTAACTCAACAAAATCATCTCTATATTCGATTTAGATATTTTTATAAATATGACTAAAATGGTTCAGATGTTACTGAACTGACAATTTGATATTGCTCATACAAATAAAAATTTCTGAATTTTAAAAATCAGCTTATTGAAATTCAGAAAAAATTCACAAAAGCATGTGCTGAAAAACAAAAAACAAAAAAAAAAAAAAAAACTACCTTCATATCTTTAACTGTATGAATATATACTATGTCTTCTAGGCAAACTACCATATACTGCAAATAAATGCATTAATTAAACTCTGTTATCTGAAAGTCAACTTCGAAATAGATTGAAGGATTTTTTTTTCTTCAGTTTTTGAAGAACATCAATGAGTGCTTGAGCATTCAGTTTATAATTTTAATTTTCAAAATACTTTAAATTAACTTTAACGTACTGAAAATGGAACTTCAGGAATAACGAAAAACTTACGTCACGATTTAATCTCACTGCTAGTACTGTATTTGTATAGCTTTGAGCACAAATCTCATTGTTTTTCTGGAAATGATAAATCCGAAGTTTACGTGGTGCTTGCGTCGATACCAGCATTAAAAGACTGGATGAGAAGAGACGCTCAATGAGCATAATTTCGGAAACTTCTATAATTGGAATGTTAAAAGACATTTACTTCGAATATATAAGCAGCAGTTTGATATTTCAATTTTTTGAAGTTAAAGTTGAACAGCAAGTATAGCTACATACATATTTCTGAAATCTCTGTTCGATGATTCGAATGACTTCTACGTTCCTATCAAATTCTAAAACACATTTCCCACTACATCTCGAAACTGTCCTGATATTGTTAAATCGATTTTTTTTTTTTTGGTAGAATGACAATGTCAGACTTATGAGAAGTGCAATGACGAAATTAAAACAGTCCTAGTATTTCCTCAATTCTTGCATTCCTTAAAGTGTGACAAGAAACCTATTCGATTTTTTAAAGATATAACGATGGTAATTGACTTTACCTATATTCTTCTTCTTGTCATCTGAAAACTGTCTATAACTTTCGTGAATTAAGTCAAGCTTATCAGTTTTTTTGACTGAATATAACGCATAACTGGATGCTGCACCCAAAGCAATCGACCTGTAACGGTATTTCATTAACACTAAACTGATTACATAGGTGCTGAAACACCTGAACACTGTGAAACTGGAAAAAAAAAAAAAACGTAGGAAAAGAACTGCATTACTTATATAGACGCAAAAATAAAACAGATCTTCATAGGTCAAACGTTTAAGTCAAAATACTTTTTTATCTTATAGCTCAAAAAAAAGTATTTTGATATGTATTTTGCTAAGTGTATCATGCTTTTATTCATGCAGCATCTATCACCGCAAAATCAACTTTTCCAGTTGAGACCTATTCGACATATTTAAAAAAAAAAAAAAAAAACGGAGCTTACGTAGCATCCTGATTGAAGCCAACAAAAGATAATTCTTCAGGTGACAATTCATCATCCAGTGACATCGGCGGCTCAGTTGTTAGGCGAGTTGCTACTACCTGTAAAGTCCGTAAAACACCATTTCCTGCATCCGATAACCACCTGAACATATCGTCACCAAGTTGTGGTGCTCGAAATGAGCTAGGACGCAGCAACACAGTATACTTGATACACTTGCAAATACTAAGAAGTGAAGCCCAAATGGATTCTTATCCTATTCTCAAATAATCAAGCCTAAGTGTACTATTTCTCCTGACCCTAATTCTGTTAAAGAGGTCACCAGAGCCTTCAAAGGGAAAGCAATCAATAAATAGACCTTTCTAGTCTAATTAACCTACCTCTCCCAAAAAAGTAATTCACGGGGTCATAATCGAATAGAACGCGGAAGATGGACTGGCCAGTGCCATCCTCTTTCTTTCCCTAAATCATCGCTTCAAAACGATGGTGAATTATCATTATCATCCGTGTAATATTTAGGCATAGAATTGTTACGGGAATAAATTCTCCTTTAACCTTACCAAATTACATTTGTTCTCGTCCCCTCATCTCAAGCTACTTCTGATTTATCATCTTGAATTTAATGCAATTCCATTAGCGACTCTATACCAATTGCTGGAGTAAATATGATGAGTATTAGAAACTTACTTGGAATTTCAGCTAAAACTAAATTCGTCATATTTCTTAAGTGACAGAATGTATAATCTTTTTCATCATTTCATGTAGTTACATCTTCCATGTTCAAATGATCAATTTTTTAGAATAGACCTGAATTTCTCCACATTAGTTTACTTTAAAACCATATTTTCAGAAAAATTTCCATTAATAGATCAACGACAACACTACAGATTAAGTAGTAATTAGTTAGGTAGTACGTAAGACTCATTTAAACTCATTTTTCATTAGTCATAAAAACAAAGCACAAATGGGTATTTCTGTAGACATGAACTTCTTCAGATTTAGTTTGTTCTTGCTCTAATTTCTTTTAGAAACAATTAACATCTGATTACAAACATTTAAAAAGGAAAGAAAAGGACAATAAGGGAGTAAGAAAAAAAGAAGTCAAAGAAAAAAAAAAAAAAAAAACTCCAATATGTTCGTCTTCAACTTGTACATTTGTGGAATAAATTGGGACAGTCAGTTAAATCTATATTTCTATATCGAATAAGCTGAAGACGAACCATTCAATGAACTCATTCTGTATATGGTACAAAAATAAGTTTAAAAAAGTAATCTAACATTTTCTAGTCTAGCATAGAACTTATGCAAATTTCTACATTATGCATCGCACACTAACATACCACTTCATTCTCCAACCACTATCCATTTTTTGCACAGTGAAATTCTTTCCTTTTTCAAAAATTCAAAAATCTTTCCAATTTCTAATTTTCAAAAATATTGAATTCACTAATAAATGTCAAACGTTTCAGATGGGAAAGCATTCTATACAAATGAGAAAAATTAGTGAATCAAAAAGCGCATTTTGAAGAGATAATAATATACACTAAAATTTTACTTCCATGATAAAAACAAAGAATTTAAATGTCAGATCGTCCGTTTCCAATCAACGCTTATTCTTTCTTCATATTTCCAATATTCGACCATTTTTACGACCGCGTCTAACTATACGCACGCAAAGCGTACATTCAATACAATCAATCACCAACAAAAAGCCAATCGAATGCGCTGCTAAGCATCTTGCAACTGTACGCGTGCGCAAAATTATCAATCGCTGTATGCTTTTGCATTCATCGATGCCTTATGACAATTATACAATGTATGTTATCCTGATTGGGTCGCTATGAAAATTCTATGATTCTTTCTTTCAAATGTCACAGAGAAGTATGTTTCGTCGTTCTCTTTCATTCTAATAAATTAATGTCACAAATTACTCATTGCAATGGAATCTCGATTAGTTGATAAATTGAAAAGTGCAAAAATTTGACAATTATAAAAGGGAAAATATATAATTAAAATTTTGAAAAATACAGGATAAAAAAAAAAGATTGCTATAAAGAGAAATGTAGATATTATGTATTTATTCTTTCATTTTTCTTTTTACAAAAAAAAAAAAAAAAAAAAGACTCTTATAAATGTTTTATTATTAATTTAAATGATAGAAAGAAATAGCAAAAGTTTTAACTCTAGTATTCATTATTGCAGTGTTATTTTTTCTATGTTTATATCAATTTAAGATTAAAATATTAAAATTAATAGCTTATTATTCATCCATAAAATTATAAATGAATTTTTCCAAAAAATTAATTATGACTAATTAAATGAGTTATGCTTTATTTCCAATAATTTTTTTAATTTAATTTAATTTGGAGATTTTTTGATTTTAATTTTTTTTTAATTTTTTAATTTTAAAATATCTCTCTGTTAGTGCAAATTTTATTTTTGCTTGTTGTTATTTGCAGTATAGTAATATGCAATACTAATATTAGTGATTTTTTTTTTTTTTTTTTTTTGAATTATATAAAAAATATTGAAATTTAGAGTTTTTTTTTATTTGGGAATATAATTCTGAAAAAATTTTTTTGAATGATGAAAAAATCATTTTTTATTCTTATCACCAAGATTTCTCGACTAGTTAATGTTACGAGAAAAGCTTTGAAAATGATTTCAGATAAAATAGTTTTTGAGTTTGTATGGTTTTTTTTTTCTTTTTTTTTAAAAAAAAATTATATTTATGATTTATTTTATCATTTAATTTCAGAAATAAAAAATTGCAGTCGATGATAAATCATTTCAAAATATATTTTTGTTGATTTTTGTTTGAAAGCGCTGTTGTCTATGGCAACGTATTATATTTATTATAAATATGTAATGTTTGCATGCTTAAAATGATAAAATTTCATGTTTTACTATATTACTTTTTTTAATAATTTCAGGCTAATTCGATTTGAGGAAAATAATCCTTAAATTATATAAATTTCACTTTTATCATATTTAAAATTGGTTAAAATGATATCAGTAAACGATAGCAAATGATAAATTAAATGATTAAAATTAATTTCTTCTAAAATGATAAAAAAGAATTTTAAGAGAAATTAAACAAAAACAAAAAAGCATTATAGAATCACAAATCGTACCATAACCATCAGTCATCCGCAATAAAATTTCAATGCAAAATTTCAATTTCAAATATTTTTAGGAAAATATTTCATTTTAACTAAGAAAGTTTTTGATGCAAATGAAAACAAAAAAATAAAAAAATTCCCTCTAAAGAAATCAATACCTTTCATAAAATTTTTATTATTTTTTTAGATTTTAAATACAAATAAAAAAAAAAAAAAGAACGTTTCCAATCACACAATTATAACAATTAATCGCTTAAATTATGCCTTTTAAATTTTCCTATTTTGCTGATCAGCTATAATTAATAATACTTTTCGCTTATTATCGATAATTAATAATAATAGCAATAATAATAATAATGATAAAAATAATAGTAAATAATAATAGTGCTGAGTAGTAGTAATAACACTAATAATAATATAATAATAATAATAATGAATAATAATAATAATGAGTAATAATAGTAATAATAATGAGTAATAATAATAATGAATAATAATAATAATAATAATAATAATGAGTAATAATAATAAGTAGTAATAATAATAATAATGAACAATAATAACAATAATAATAATAATAATTAATAATAATGATGAGCAATAATAATAATAATAATAATAATGAATATAATAATAATGAGTAATAATAATAATTATTATTACTATTGAATTTAAATTTCAAATTTATCAAAAATTAGGAATGGAATAGGGGAGAGAAAGAGAAGGAGAGAGAGAGGTAGAGAGAGGGAGGAAAAGAAAAAAAGAAAAAATGGAACATCTCGTGAATTTCTCGTGAAATGTTTCAAAATTTGATTATATGTAACAGTAGGTGGCATCTATTAGTTTTAACTCTTCCTTTTTAAACATCGATTGCATCTTCTTCAACCAATAATCATTCATCGATATTTGCACTTTCTAACAATTATTCAATTATTTTTTATCATTTAATAAAATTTTTAGGTATTAATTTTCCAAAATATTAATTTGCTAAATTTTAATAATTAAAATTAATTGCATTATTATTTAATTGTTTTTTTTTAAATAATTAAAATTTTAATTGTATTAAATTTATTCAATTGTTGTATTAAATAAATATCATAGATTAAGTTATTATTTTAAATTGTTCATTGAATATTTTAAAATTTTTTAATAAATAATTTAAAATATAATTTATATTATTAATAATATTATGATAATAAATATTTGAATATATATGCATGAGATTTATTTATCCACCTGATATATACGAGGAATAGAGTTTTCACAAAATTAAAAATGTAATATTTATTATAGTTAAAAAAAAATTTTTAAATTTTTGAAATAAACCATTGAATTTAGCAGATGCTTAGTTTGTTGTTGTTTTTTTTTTTCTTTTTATAAATATTTATATAGTTTCATTTTTTTTCCTTTCCGAGAAATTAATTACCTTTGATAATTAAACATTAATCTAATCAGAGAGAGCATTCTTTTAAGATAAAATTATTATACTATTTACAACTATGAATATTGGCTTTCTTTCTTTTTTTTTTTGTTCATCTGTTTTCGTTTTATTTTTTATTTTTAGATGTTATTTTTAGTGAGTGGGAGAGTATTTTGTTATTGATGCTACTATGAACGAGAAAATTTCTTGGCGCTTTTGTCGATGCGTCAATAGAGCCAAATCATTAATTGACTGAATGCTGTGCTTTTATAAGTTTGTCTTGACAAACGTTATTGCTTAACTTATTCAAATATCATATTACTTAATTTAGTTAACCATTAAAGATTAATTTTAATCTATTATTTAATCTAGTAATTAAATTATTTGACGTATTACTTAAAATACTAATGATTAGATTATTTGACGTATTACTTAATACTAATGATTAGATTACTTGACCTATATTACCTAGTCTATTAACGATTAGATTATTTGATATTTGACGTATTACTTAATACTAATGATTAGATTACTTGACCTATATTACTTAGTCTATTAACGATTAGATTATTTGATATTTGACGTATTACTTAATACTAATGATTAGATTACTTGACCTATATTACCTAGTCTATTAACGATTAGATTATTTGACCTCTTACTTCATTTACAGATAATTAGATAATTTGACCTGTTGCTCAGTCTACTAATTGACCAGATTATTTGACCTCTTACTTAATCTACTAATTGATTAGACTATCTGGCTTATATTACTTACTCCATTAACGATTAGACTACTTGACCTACCAGTCATCATACGACTTAATGTATCAATTATCAATGGAGTAGTAGTAGTAGTAGCAATCCATCCAGAAGAAATGAACAGAAACAACTTTCCGCTTCCATAAACATTTCACGAAAACATAATTCGCCACGAATGAGATAAACCAACGAACGCTTTTAAAGAGTGCAATTTTCATAACCTTTTGCGCACACATACACACATACACATACATACACATACACATACTCACACACCCACACATACACACATACACATATCCAGAGAAATCGATCGTAAGCAAATAAGAAGACTTCTTTTTTCTTTTCCTTTTTTTTTTTTTTTCACTTGTCATCTGTTTGACGTCATCGTTTAGCATTATTATGAATTGTCCAATTCATTTATATTTTTACCTCTGATCTACCTTTAATTCTTTCCAATATCATTATCATTATTATTGATTTTTTTTTTTTTTTTTCTAAAACAATTTCACAAATTTTGTACGAACAGATTCAATTCAATTTTTTTTTTTTGATTGAAAATGTTCATTGATGTAAAATGAAATGGATGAAAATGTTGACATTATTGTCATTTCTTTTTCCTTTTTCCTTTCTTTTTTTTTTTCTCATTTCTATCATTTTTCTCATTTTCTATTTGTGCAATTTCTTGCTACAAACTTTTTCCTCCAAACACTATCATTTATCACTACAACAAACAAAACTAAACTACTCCAATTACTATTTAATGCATAAAAATATGCATATAGGATTGGATGACAAATGAGTGTCACATGAATTTTTGGATGATTAGAAGAAGTATGCAGCAATACTTGTTAGTATGTAATTTATAAATCATATGATATTAGATTTTTATTGATTGTTAGCTGGTTGATATTATTTAAATATTTGCAAAAAGGAAAAAGAGATAATAGGAAAAGGAGAAGGAGGAGGAGGAGGGAAGAGGAGAGGAGGTGAAAATAAGAGAACAATAAATCATTTATTTGTTTGCTTTTTAACAATTATCATTTATTGTTAGCAATGTATTAGTTTCAAACTTATCTAATTTCTTTATTTTTGCTTAAATAAAATCTAAATTACATTTGTTAATTTATTTAAAAAAAAAAAAAGGAAAAATTTATTTATCATTTTTTGTTAAATTCTCTTTTTATTTTTCTTTTTGATTATCAATATAACTTATAGAATGATAAAGAAATGATAAATGCACAAAAATGATAAAAAAAAAAAGTAATAATAGCACTTAAATTTTATTATCATACAAAATTTTACACTCTTTTCTTGATAATACTTTTTTTTTTTTGATTGTTATACTTTGTAGCTTATCTACTTTTTATGCTCAATGATATATTTATAGAAATGTGTAGCATTTGAGATATTTCATCGAAATTCATCTGATAGTTATAAGTATTTTATCATCAATAAATACTTTTTCTTTATCACTTCTTTTATCAGTGATCAGCTTCAAGTAATATAATATGCAAACTAGATAATAAAATATTAACATCTGTTTGTTACTTTTTTTTCTCTCTCTCTCTTTCTCTTTCTCTTTCCCTCTCTCTCCCTCTCTCAGACATATTTCCCATTAAAATTCTCGTAGACGTATCTCATTCATTCATTTATTTCAATGATTTTTTATAAAAATTAAAATTGATTGAAAAAAAAAAGTCAGTTTGATTTTTTTTTTAATCAGTTTTATTTGTCATTTTATTGTTTACTTTTTTTCATTTTTAACAATTCAACATAAATGCTAATATTACTATTTCAATTGCAAATTTAAATTATTCAATTTGTATTTTTTTTTCTCTCTCTAATAAATTATATTTTGATGGAAATAAAGATTAAGCAAACAAAAAAAAAAAAAAAAATAAAAAGTAAAATTCTCCAAGGATTTGCTAATTATCCAATAATAGAAAATGAATACGAAATGTGAAGGAACAAAAAAAAGAAAAAAAAAATAAAATAATTTGAAAATGATAAAATCAAATATTTTACAAAAAAAAAAAATCGAATAATAACAAATAGATATTTCGTTTTATTAAATTTGATTTTTTTTTTTCAAAAAAAAAAAGTATTCACAATAATATTTTTTTTTTTTACAAAATTATCACAAAGATTAAAAGATTTCCAACTCGTCCCTTCTTTTTCTTTTTTTTTTCCTGTTTGTTTAATATGAAAATGACATATACTTTCCATTTATTCATCATTTCATTAATTCTTCCTATTTCTCACAAAGTTATTAAATGGCAGGTCAAAGGTTAAATTTTTTTGATTATAAGTAATTATAATTATTTCCCATAATTAAAATAACTTTTTTCTTTTGTTGTATTAAGCAATATGAGTAAAAGATTTTCCTAAAATGACAAAAATTATCTAAAAATAATGATCTTTTGTTGTTAATGAGAGTTTATTTTTAGGATTTAAATAGCTATTATAGCAATTATTATGAAAGGAAGGTCAAATACCAGAACAATCTCTTATTGATAAGGTCAAATACCAGAACGATCTGTTGGTTAATTTTTGGATGATGATGATGATGATGATCTGACCTATAAATAATTATTGAGCCATCATCATCATCATTAGTTGTCTTTCTCCATTAGGTTATCTTGTCTAATCCTTCATTAAGAACTTTTTTTTATTTATTTTATTTTTTTTTCCAATGAATTATGATACTTTTTATATTATATAAATATGATAAATTTAACAATGATTTCATTTAATTGAGTTTAAAAAAAAAAAGTTAAAAAGAAATAAGTTAAAGAATTAAAAAGTAATACATTTATTCATATTATTATTTGATACAAATTGATTTAAAAAATAAATAAATAAACAAAATGTTCGAGAATTGCTTTTTTTTTTTTTTTTTTTTGAATTTTAATGACGAATTGCGAATTGTTTATTGTTATCATTTTATCTTCATCGTTATCAATTATTATTCTTTATCCATGTTTTTATGAGAATTCTTTTCATCGTTACCAATGTAATCGAAATGATACACTGCTATCTTTCAACTTAATATTTTAGTTTCTATTTTAATTTATTCTTTTCAATTCCTATTCCATTAATTTTTAACTTATTCCTTTCAATTAATTCCTATTCCATTAATTTTTAACTCATTCTTTTCAATTCCTATTCCATTAATTTTTAACTCATTCTTTTCAATTCCTATTCCATTAATTTTTAACTCATTCTTTTCAATTCCTATTCCATTAATTTTTAACTCATTCTTTTCAATTCCTATTCCATTAATTTTTAACTCATTCTTTTCAATTCCTATTCCATTAATTTTTAACTCATTCTTTTCAATTCCTATTCTATTAATTTTTAACTTATTCTTTTCAATTCGCATTTCATTTTTTTCATTAAACAATATCTTCGGTTAAACTATTATTAATGTTTATTTGAACTAAACTATTTATTAATGCATTATTTCAGTGATTGGTGCGAAAAATTAATTATATTGGAATTGATTATAAAATCAAAGAATATAGCAACAACAGCAACAACAATAGCAACAGCGACAACGATAACAATAGTAACAATAACAATAGCAACAACAACAACAACAACAATAGCAACGACAACAACAATAGCAACAACAACAACAAAGAAAATGTCTACTGATCCGCCAATGTATCCAAAGATTTCGAGTGCATCGATGGGTGACTGTGAAAATAGATTATCATACTTTGGTGATAATCACATATTATGCTATAACCGACGTCGTTCTATACCATTGTAAGTTTAATATTTAATTCATCTTTATAAAATTTTATTAAATTAAAATTTTTTTAATGATAATAATTAGTATATGAAAATTTATGATAGCAATTTTTAACATAATTTTACTTGCATTATTACTTGTATTTATTTGCATTTCTTACATTTAAATTTTTTTAAAAATTTTCCTTTAATTCTTTTAGATTTCCTATTCTATCATTTTTTAACTTATGGAACTAATTATAAAATTAAACAATGTAATATTTATTAAAATGGAATAGCAAGAATTTCAGTACTCAATTAATCAGTTTATTAAATGATTGAATTATTCAAATAAATATTAAAAATATCATTGAATATTTAAATTATTTCATTTCAATTACTTTTTTATTCATTTCGATCACTCATATTTCTTCCACCAATTTTCTTAATCTTTGTAATATTTGTTAAAATAGAATAGCAAAAACTTTGATATATTATTATTACTTAATATTCATTTAATCAATTTATTGAATAATTGAATTATTCAAATAAATATTAAAAATATCATTGAATATTTAAATTATTTCATTTCAATTACTTTTTATTGATTTCGATTATTCATTTTCTTCTAATAATTTTGTTTTAATTTGATCATATATGCAAAAAGTGTAACATCAATCTTCATCTATCCTTCACGTCATTCCGAAATCGATGTGACGAATGTTGACATCATTCTGTCATAAAACATTTGAAAAAAAGAAAAAAGAAAAGTTCCATAAGAATAATTTATGTATGCTTTCCATCTTTTAAAGGCTTTTAAAAATTAAATTATTACAGATTAAAACAAACATTTAAAGAATTATATTAATTTATTGAAGGCATTTCTTCTTTTCTTTTCCTTTTTATTTCATTCTATTATGATAATTTTGATCAATGATCGAAATATAGGTGATGATTAAGCATAGAATAAGTCTAAAATTACATTTATTATACTAATAATTTATCATTATCATAAAATTAATAGAAGAAAAAAAAATAAACTAAAATGCTTCTTAGTTTAATAAAATTTAGCTTTTGTTTTTTCTATAATTATAAATTTTTTTCTCGAATAAAGAAAAAACTATGTGAAAAAAATTTCTTTTTTTTGCTTTCTCTCTCTCTCTCTCTCTCTCTATTTGAAGCAAACTGATGTGAATTAATTACTGATAAGAGAAATTTTTCTCAGCTATTTTTAATCACTTTCATTTATTATATATTTATTTCAAGCAAATTTGATATGAATTTAATTGATATGAACTGATAACAAAAATAAGATAAGAAATGAGGAAAATATTTTTAATGCATTGAGTGATTTTTATCAATTATGTTGATTTAATTGATGATAAGTGATAGCTTTAAAGAAACTGAAGTTTCCATGCAATTGTTTAGAGTGATTAAAGATAAAATTACGCTCAAAAACAAAGATAGGGTATTTTTGCTTCCCATATATTATCAGTGATTAAAATTTTTGCACTCACAGAGAAAGATAGGGTATTTTTGCTTTCCATAAATTTGGGTATTATTATCAGTGATTAAAATTTTTGCACTCACAGAGAAAGATAGGGTATTTTTGCTTCCCATAAATTTGGGTATTATTATCAGTGATTAAAATTTTTGCACTCACAGAGAAAGATAGGGTATTTTTGCTTCCCATAAATTTGGGTATTATTATCAGTGATTAAAATTTTTGCACTCACATAGAAAGATAGGGTATTTTTGCTTCCCATAAATTTGGGTATTATTATCAGTGATTAAAATTTTTGCATATTGAAATATAAAACTTTTAATTAATTTCATTTGCACTGTTAATATTAGAAAGAGAGATAAGATTGAAGTTTACCTGTAATTGATAGGAGGAAAAATGATAGTGAAATTTCCCAAACATTTAAAATTTTGAAGTAATAATTACTGATAAGAAGATAAGAAATAGATTGGTCAATAATAGATTATATATATTTGAATTTACATATATATGTATTTTACCTTTTGATATTTGCTACTTTTCTAGTTATATCTTTTTTGTTCTAATTTTGTTACAATTGAAATTAAATTTTCTAATTAAGAAGTTCTAATCAAATTTCAATTTTTGTTATATTTATATTTATGACTGATAAAAGATAAGCAATCATTTAGCCCAATTAATTATAATATGATTAGACTGATAGATTAGTAATTAAATGTTGTTCATTAGAATATAAAATATTTGAATTTTTTCTTTTGCATTTTTGTTTAAAAATAAATATTTACTCATTTTTTTCTGTCTAATATAACTTTATATGAAATTATAAATTAATTAATGAGCAATAGTTTTCTTGTTTACATTTGTAATAGATGCTAAAATTGAGTAAATAAGATAATTCTTATACTTATGTTACTTCTCTTATTACTTAGTTTACTTGTAAAAATTTTCTTTTTTTTTTTTGCTTATTTGATCTGTTCTCATCTTACTTGTTTACTTGTAAAATATTTTGCGAACTTTAGCAACATAATAATAATAATAATAATATATTAACTAAGATTTTATTCAATAATACATTTTGATGATTGGATGATGAACTTAATTTAACTATGATTTATCTGTCGATTTTTATTGAAATATAATTAATAACAGCAATAATAATAATAGCATCATTAATAATGATGATAATAATAATAATAATATTAATAATAGCAGTAATAATAACAATAATAATAACAACAGTAATAATATAACAATAATAATGTTGGTAACAGTAGCAATAATAATAAAATTATTAAATAAGCTCTATTTATTAAAACATTTCGCTAATTGGATAATGAGTTTAATTTAACTATGATTTATCTATCTGATTTTATTAAACTAATAATAGTAGTAATATTAATAATAATAATAATAATAGCAATAATAGTAACAGTAATAATAATAATAATAAAGTTACTAATTAAGCTTTATTTATTAATACATTTTGTTGATTAGACTCCCTCTATCCACCTGATTTTATTAATTTACTATTTCATTATTTCGTTGTTTTAGCAATCAAAAGTGTATCACAAAATCTCGAACAATGCCTTATCCATTGTACAGCGAATGTTGCGAGAATTCATTGCCCAATTCTCGTTGTAGTGCTAATGTGCTAGCTGATTGCTTAAAATCGTCACCTTTATATCGTCGACAAGAGTAAGTCACTCTCTTTGTCACCAATAATCCTTTTTTTTTTTTTGTTGTTTCATTTTTTAAAGAAGATAAAACGAGAAGGATGACACTACGATACAAATAATTGGGAGATATACTTTCATATTTATAAGTAAAATATCATGTGACAATGTATCATTATCGAAGTTATCCCATTATGGTGACAATGAAATGAGTGTCACAGTGTCACATTCATTACTTTTAGTTTAATGGAGATCTATTTTTAGTAGAATTTTATAAGTTTTTAAAATATTTACAGTAGTAATATTAACTGATGATTTTTACTAATCAATTTTAGATTATGCTTTGCAGTAAGTTGAAAAAGATACAGAGCAAGTGATAAAATGATAAGTTAAAAATAAGTTAAAATGAGTTAAATATGAGTTAAAACGATAAATTTTAAATTAAATAATTTTTTATTGAAAGTTTTAAAATTACATTAGAAGAGAAAAATCTGAGATTTAGTATATTTTCTCAGATTTTTTAATTTATTGTTTATTTTTTTTTTTGTTTTTTTTAATACAATTTTGATTTGAAATTATTTCATTTTATTATTTTTTTTAACGCAATTTCCTTATCAGCTTATTACTTATTCATTTTCTTATAATTTCTTTTAATTTAAAAAATAAACAAAGAAGGTTAATCAGATTTGATTTTGAATTTCTTTTTCTG